CTCTGGGCTGCCTTCCTAGCCTGTGCCAGCCCCCAAGACCCTGGCCTTTGCACGTGTGGCATCCCAGGCTGTCCGCTCCTCCTTGGAGCCCCCTTCGCACATCCCCTCCTCCGTGAAACCCTCCCCTGCCCCGCACTGCTCTGAGGACCTAACATGTTCCAGACACAGAACACGCCATACTGAGGACAGGACAGGACAGCCCCCGCGGACCAGGCCACTCGGGGCAAAATAGCCGTGTGCTCCCGATTTAGCCCAAAGAGCACCTGCAGCAGGCACACTAACCCGATGACACCCACCTCTCCGACACGTAAATGGAGCTCCGGGGCATTCACCACTGCCTGGCCCTGGGGGAAATCATCTTCTTCAAGTCACATCCTTGAGGACCCTGAGTCCCCAACCCAGGCAGACGTAGCCGGGCTCCCAGCCGCCACACAACCATGCGTCAGCGTTCTCTTCTCTCGGGGAAGGAGCGTTCACTCAGTTAAATCTGGAGACATCTTGAGGGATCTCGGGAGGGCCCAATGCCCGTCAAGGCCTCCCGGATGTTCTCCTAGTGAGAACAGGTTTGCCAACAGCTCGCACCTTCCTCAATTACTGACCCCAAGAGCATGGTCCCTAGCCGGTCCCACGTGCCTCCCACAACCCCGCGGGGCCATGGCTCAGAGCCGGAGGCCACGCCGGGCATAGAGCGGGCATCCACAGAGTCACGGGAGGGCCTGGGCTCGCCTGGGGTTTCAGGGCCCACCAAGCGTGAACTGGCCCTTCCTGAGCGGGCCCTGCCCTACCTCACCGAGGTGCCCAGGATGTGCAGGCGGGCAGGATGGACAGGGCAGAGGCTGCCAGTGGGGTCGAGACCAGACAACTGAGGGGGTAAGAGGCGTGCGCACCCCAGACACGGCAGGTCCCCCCAGACAGAGCCCTCAAGGGGGCTGGAGGGCGGGGCATGCACCGCGGCCAGACGGGTGAGGCAGGGCAGGTGGGGCCAGGCAGGTGGGGCCGGACAGGTGGGGGCCAGGCTGGTGGGGCCAGGCAGGTGGGGCCGGACAGGTGGGGGCCAGGCTGGTGGGGCCGGACAGGTGGGGCCAGGTAGGTGGGGGCCAGGCTGGTGGGGCCGGACAGGTGGGGCCAGGCTGGTGGGGGCCAGGCTGGTGGGGCCGGACAGGTGAGGCAGGGCAGGTGGGGCCAGGCTGGTGGGGCCAGGCAGGTGAGGCAGGGCAGGTGGGGCCAGGCTGGTGGGGGCCAGGCTGGTGGGGCCGGACAGGTGGGGGCCAGGCAGGTGGGGCCGGACAGGTGGGGGCCAGGCAGGTGGGGCCGGACAGGTGGGGCCAGGCAGGTGGGGCCAGGCAGGTGGGGCCGGACAGGTGGGGCCAGGCAGGTGGGGGCCAGGCTGGTGGGGCCGGACAGGTGGGGGCCAGGCTGGTGGGGGCCAGGCTGGTGGGGCCGGACAGGTGAGGCAGGGCAGGTGGGGCCAGGCTGGTGGGGCCAGGCAGGTGAGGCAGGGCAGGTGGGGCCAGGCTGGTGGGGGCCAGGCTGGTGGGGCCGGACAGGTGGGGGCCAGGCAGGTGGGGCCGGGCAGGTGGGGCCAGGCAGGTGGGGCCAGACAGGTGGGGCCGGACAGGTGGGGCCAGGCAGGTGGGGGCCAGGCTGGTGGGGCCGGACAGGTGGGGGCCAGGCTGGTGGGGGCCAGGCTGGTGGGGCCGGACAGGTGAGGCAGGGCAGGTGGGGCCAGGCTGGTGGGGCCAGGCAGGTGAGGCAGGGCAGGTGGGGCCAGGCAGGTGGGGGCCAGGCTGGTGGGGCCGGACAGGTGGGGGCCAGGCTGGTGGGGGCCAGGCTGGTGGGGCCGGACAGGTGGGGGCCAGGCTGGTGGGGGCCAGGCTGGTGGGGCCGGACAGGTGAGGCAGGGCAGGTGGGGCCGGACAGGTGGGGCCAGGCTGGTGGGGCCGGACAGGTGGGGGCCAGGCTGGTGGGGCCGGACAGGTGAGGCAGGGGAGGTGGGGCCAGGCAGGTGGGGGCCAGGCTGGTGGGGCCAGGCAGGTGAGGCAGGGCAGGTGGGGCCAGGCAGGTGGGGGCCAGGCTGGTGGGGCCGGACAGGTGGGGGCCAGGCTGGTGAGGCAGGGCAGGTGGGGCCAGGCTGGTGGGGCCGGACAGGTGAGGCAGGGCAGGTGGGGCCAGGCAGGTGGGGCCGGACAGGTGGGGCCAGGCAGTAGGGGCCAGGCTGGTGGGGCCGGACAGGTGGGGGCCAGGCTGGTGAGGCAGGGCAGGTGGGGCCAGGCTGGTGGGGCCGGACAGGTGAGGCAGGGCAGGTGGGGCCAGGCTGGTGGGGCCGGACAGGTGAGGCAGGGCAGGTGGGGCCAGGCAGGTGGGGGCCAGGCTGGTGGGGCCGGACAGGTGGGGGCCAGACAGGTGAGGCAGGGCAGGTGGGGCCAGGCTGGTGGGGCCGGGCAGGTGGGGCCAGACAGGTGGGGCCAGGCTGGTGGGGCCGGACAGGTGAGGCAGGGCAGGTGGGGCCAGGCAGGTGGGGGCCAGGCTGGTGGGGCCGGACAGGTGGGGGCCAGGCTGGTGGGGCCGGACATGTGGGGGCAGAAGTGTGGAAGGCGTGCACCTATCTGCGGCCCAGCAGGCCCCAGGCTGGTTCCTCCCAAGAGCCCCAGAATGGACAAGGCTGGGCAGATGCAGCCGTGTGTCCAGGCCGCTGTGGTGCCCCATCTGTCTGCCTGTCTGTCCCACGCAGGATTCCTGAGTCTTGCCGCTGCTGGCCTGCCAGGCAGTTACCCGGAAACCTCTGCCCAACAGAAAAGACCTTGACTGAGACACAGCCGAGCAGAAGGCCTGGCTTAATTAGGCTGCGCGGAGTCTTGTCCCCAGCGCTGCGAGCAAAGCCTACCTAGGGCTCCCTCCAGGCTGTGAGTCCTTCTCTGAGGGTGTGTATGTGTGCACACACGTCTCTGCTTCGGGCCCCGACTCAACTTCTCAACCTGTTTCTAATCATCCCTGTGTCTGTGCGCCTCTCTATCTCTCTGTCTGCCTGTCCATCCACGCCTGTCTGTCTGTCCATTTCTCCCTGTTTGTCTGTCTCTATCAGTGTCTGTGTCTGTCTCTGTGGGTCTGTCTCACTGTCTACATCTGTCTGTCTCTCTCAGTCTCTCCCTGTCTGTCTCTCTGTTTCCCCCTGTCTGTCTCTGTCTGCCTGGCCTGCACTTGCACTTCTGCCCTGGTTCCTCGGGTCTCCCAGGCTCCACCTCAGCCAGCCCGTCTTCCGCTCTGAGCTGCTGACCCCCACACTCCGTCCCTACCCGCCCTCCAGCACCTGCCCATGGGCCTGTCTCCCACGTCAGTCTGCCCCCAGCCCTGCCTTCCCATGGCTTGGCCTCGGGCCGGGGCACTTCCATCGCCCCTTCCCCATCTGTCTCTGACCATGTCTGCTTGGGGCCAGCCTGCCTCAGCATCTGAGGCTCTAGTCTGTGTCTCTGGAATCAGCTCCCAGTCTCCGTCTGTCTGCCTCTCACCCACACTCACCCTAAGAGAACAGAATGCTGCCCGCCGGGGGACAGAGGAGACAAGGTCTCACCCGGAGCAGCCCTGGGGTGCGAATGGGCTGGGGGCGGGGGTAATGCCAGGCTGGGGCGCCCCCAGCGCCCCAGCCCCTCATCGGGGGTGAGCCCGCGCTGTCACCACAGCAGGAGGAACTTTGGGCGGCCACGGAACAAAGGCAATCCAGGCTGGCAATTACCCAGCTAATTTCAGCCATGTAGACAGCCAATCAAATATTTCAGTTTCTTTCCAAGCCCACCTCAGGGCCTGAATTAGCTGCCTAATTAATTATCTGTAGCAGCCAGGGGCTGGCTGGGGGGAGCCGGGAGCCGCCTGTGCACGGATCACCCCCGTGACGTAATCGTTATAATTAGACTCAACCTGCAGCCCATCCCTGACCGCAGAGCCTGGAAATGTGGCCCCGGGCCTCCTCGACAGCTTTCCTCTTAACTTGAGTCGGGAGGAGATGTGGCCCACTGTGGGGCCCCGGTCCTGGGCATGGGTCCTTAGGGCCTCCATCCTGCCCCTAGCTCCTAGCACCAAGCCACGTGGCACCCCGCCTCTGGTGAAAAGTGGCCTGTCACCCCTGCTGAGAGGTGGGCTTGCCCTGCAGCACGTGACCCACACCTGGCTGCGAAAGGCATCCGGTCAGGGTGGGGCTGAAGGAGGCCACGTGTGGAAGCCAGCTCAGACGGCAGAGTCGGGCAGCACCTGTCACCAGGGCTCCCACGGCTGGCACTCATCTGGGGAGCTGGGTGCACAGAGCCGCCCCCAGGGGCCAGGCTGCCCAGACCGTTCTGTCAATACGCATCCATCTCAGTGTGGCCCGAAGTCCAGTGCCCTGCCCACCTGCTGGGCCAGGGCCTCAGCTCACTGTGCTGTGCCACCTTCCCCTCCTGGCTGTGGTGACAGCCTTTAGCCAAGCCACAGGATTCCTTTCAGAAACAGTCGGCGGGGTTGAAAGCGGAGCGGTTTCCCTCCCCCAACACACACATGGGAATGCATTGCCTGTATTCGGGGCCTTTTCCCTTATCCTTGTGCCCAGCCGGCCCTGACCCCCGTGCCCAGCTGGCCCTGACCCCTGTGCCCAGCTGGCCCTGACCCCTGTGCGTGCTCCTGGCCCTTCCCTGGTAACACCTTGAAGCCCTTGCTGGACGCCCCAGGTCCAGCTCTGTCCCTTACCCCCTCATGGCCAGCCTGCGGCCTCCTGCACCCCTGCTCGCCAGAGGCAAAGTCCCCACGGGGCCCCCAGATTTGACCAGTGGGACTTCCCCGGTGCCCCTTGGGTGGGCTCCACCTGACCACAGCACGTGGCACGTACCCTTCCCCACCCCGAAGCCGAGCACGGTAACGCGGGGTTGCTGCCTTTGGTCGGGAGGAGCCTGCAGCTGGGCTTGCGGGCTGTGTGGTGGTCTGAGGGCGACCCTTTGTGATGACAGCTGTGGGGTGCAGGGGGCCCCTCGCCCTACCTCCCAGGGCCTGTTTCATCACGAACTCCATGGCGATGGCTCTGAGTCCTCAGCAGCTCCTCGGAGGGCCGAAACTCACATGCGAGTGCAGCCAGTCCTCTGCCTGTGGGGGGATGTGGTCACAGGTCACCTGAAGGGCTGGGGAGGACGTGCTCCTCGCTCCTGAGATGCGGGTCTGGGGTCTGAGACAGCATCATTCATGGTCCCTGCACACCTGGAGGCCAGACCTCAGGATGGCACAGGCACCCGGAAGGGTCTGGGAGGGTCCCTGCAAAGTGGTCTCATCAAGCTCCTGGGGTGTGTGAAGGTGGATCTTGGCTGCTACTGCAGGGAAGGGGAGGGTGCCGCCGAAAGGAGGCGGCCTGTGTGAAGTGAGGGCAGCCCCAGGGGCGTTTGGAGGTGACTGGCTCAGTGACTGCTCGCTGGAGCCCTGGACCACAGGGGCAGGGATCTATCTAAAGAAGGGAAAGGTTAGTGTGGGTGGCACCTGGGGGAGCGCCTTGGGTCTGATGGAACTTGGGAGACCAGGTTCCACCAGGGGAGATGCCGGCAGTCATTGACACCTGCCCAGAGACTCGGGGGCGGGGGTGCGGGGAATCCAGCCTTCAGGGAACAAATGAAATGGGGGGTGACCACTGCGCCCCTGCATGCATGGGTGGGCCTCTCCAAGTATAGGTCAGCTGCAGGTCTAGTGGGGAGGGGCTTCTTGTAAAATCAGTAACTGCAGTGCCCACCCCCCTTCCTGTGAAGTCTCTCCTGGCAAAGAAACCCAGGTCCCTGGAGAGACACTGTTTTACGCCTTTAAATTGTTTTCTTCCCAGATGAAGGAGACCTGTGTTTGTTCTGGCTGGGGAAGGAATGCCCCCGCCTGCCCGCAAGGCACTGGCGCGCAGGGGCACCTTTGCCGCAAAGCAGATCCTCTTCCAAACTTCTCCCCTGGCTCCCGGGGGAGGGGATCTCAAGGCCACAGCGCGGCCAGGGCGCTGCTGGAGCTCCCCCAAGGCTCCCACCGCCACCCGCGAGGCTGGGCTCCCGAGGATGCCGCACCCCTCGGCTTTGCGGGCGGGCGAGTTGCCCGACTCTGCCAAGCGGCCCTCAGGCGGGAGCGCGCCAGAAGAGAAAAAGAAAGAGACAGAGGACGAAGCAGGGGAAGGGGGGACGCTAGAGGCAGGAGACTCGGAGAAGCAGCAGGAAAGAGGGAGGGCGCGGGCCGGGACCGCGGGGCCGCTTCAGCACCGCTACGGAGGACAGCGCCCGGCGGGGCCAGGGAGGGGGCACCCGGGGCCGGGGAGGGGGCGTCGGGGGCGAGAGCGCGCCCGGCCCGGGCCGGGGAGGGGGCATCGGGGGCCGGGGAGGGAGCCGGTTACCTTCCTGGGGCCGCGATCGGGGCGCGAGAGGGCGGGCGGGCGGTCAGCGGCAGAGCGCGCTCGGGCCAGCCGGGTCCATGTGGCGCCCCGGGAACTGCGGCTTCAGCTGAAGGGCACGGCGAGGAGGGCGCGTCACAGGGAGGCGCTCCCCGCCCCCCGCCCGCGTCTAGCGTGACGAGGAGGGCGGGGCCGCGGCGGCCGGGCGGGTGCCCGGGGTGGGGGTGGAAGGAGCGGAGCCGCGCCCCCCCAGACCCGGCCTCTGGGCCGGACCGGGGTGGGGGGCGTCCCAGGGAGCGAGCTCTCAGCCGGACGCACCACCCCGGCCCTCCCCTTAGGGCAGAGCCGCAGACACTGTCCCCAGCCGCCTGCGTCTGATCCGGTCTGCCTGGACCCGGGCGGGGGCCGCCCCCAACCCAGCGCGAGCCAGGGACCCGCGCTCCCATACACTTGCGCCCATGCGGAGCGCCTGGCGCGCGGGCGGGTCGGTCCGCAGCCCAGTGGGAAAGGCCTTTTCTCGTTCGGGCTCGTGGCTCGCTGCGGGGGTTGGGGGAGGTTGGGGGTCGCGGCCCCGCTCGGCTTCCCACCCTCCACGGGGGCGCGGGAAGCGGTTCTCAGCGCGGCGGGTGACCGCGGTCCCCACCGAGCCGAGTGCCCCTGAGCGCTGCTCCGGTTTCGACCCTCGCCGCTGGGCGGGAGAAGGGGGCCCCCAGACCCCAGAGAACCCATCCAACCGTTGTCGGAGGGCAGCTCACAGACCGACTCGGACCTATTTGCGTAACAGGGTCGCAAAGAAAGAGCCACGCCGTTTCACTTTAGCGGGACAGAGGCGGAGCGACCCCCGCGCCCTCGGCCGGCGGCCCCACACCGGGCAGGGACGAGCGAAGGTCACTGCGGAACGTCTGCTCAGCTCCCGCCCGCGCGGCCGCGCCCCCGCTCCGGGGATCGCCTCTGCAGTGGAAACCAGGCTACAACGGGGAGAGCGGGGTCGCTGCAAGGTCGGCGCCTGGCCTGCAGCCGCTCCAGGGTCAAGTGACAGCCTGCAGCTCTGCCCGGCTCACCCTGATGACTGCTCCATTAACTTTCACACACCGCCCCCCCCAGCTGAGTCATAGCTGGGCCTGGGGTGATCCTAGAGACCCCCACCCCGCAAAGCCCTCCTCACGCTGCCCCCCAGCACAGACAGCCTGAACTCGGGAGGCCCTGCCTGTTTTCCTCCATCTGCCTGGTGCCTGGGCTCCCACCGTCCACCCGTTGCTGACCACCTCCAGGCCTGAGTGTGGGCATCAGTGGCCGGACGGGGGCCCCCAGCAGTAAGGGGTTAGGATGGGGACAGGGTGGAGGCCAGCACCGCTTTCTGGGAGTGGGCAGGGGCACCCCCACTCTGCAGCTACTCTGCCCAGTGAGGACCCTGGTGGCCCTGGGGGAGGCCCATGCCCCAGGACGCACAAAACTGCAGACTCCTTGGATGCTGGGGCTGTAAGAACCGGCCCAGAACTGTTCAGTCTTCCTGCTGGTATCTCCTGTCACCTGGATCTGGGCAAGGTGGGTGCAGTGAGGCTGCTCTGAAGGGCAAACCTGGGGACATACAGGGCTCACACTGGACCTGCAGGGAGCCCCTTGTGCCTGCCCACCCTGGCCAACCCCCATGAACGTGAGATGCTCACGTCTGTTTCACCTCTCGCCCCGCCCTTCACGCCTTCAGCAGGTCTGGGACAGGTGTTCTTGGGAGCGGGTGGTCACCGGTTTCCAGGTGTCGAGGGTCTTCGGGCCCAGCCTTAGCCCTCAGGGTCTGTGCAGCCTGGCCCCTGGTGTCCTCAGGCCCTGGGTGTGGACACAGGAGGGAGGCGTGTGTGTCCAGCAGGGAGACGCTCCTTCCCTGCTGGAGCCTCTGCCCTCCAGCCCTGCCAGCCCCTCCGTCCCCTGCTTGGACCCCACAGACCGCGTGACCCAGGCCTGGCCCATGTCGGTGGCCGAGGACACAGACCCTCTGCTGACCTTGCCACCCGACCCTCCGGCCCTCAGCCTCTTTCTCCCCCGCCTCTTGGGGTCACCATTCAGAGGTCACACGTGAGGTCATCACCTACCTCTCTGTTGTTACCCCTCTTAGACCCACCACACACTCACAGCTGCCTACTCAGTTCTCATATCTGTCCAGGCCCTAGGCTGGGTGAGGGAGACTCAGACCCTTCCATGGGGAATAGACAAGGTTAGTGACAGTCCCAGCTCAAGGCGCCCGGCACCCGAGGAGGCCTGGAGGGCGGGGGTCAGCTCCCAGCAGGCAGGGGACAATGCCCCGTGACCAGGAGGTGATGCAGCTCATGACCTCTGCCTGGCCGTGGGGCAACATCCCAGGTGGGCACCTGTGGCCCCATGAGTGCCTGGAAGAGGACCTGGGTGCCGGTGACCAGTCCCCAAGCCTGCAGCCGGCCCGAGAGTCAGGAGTGGAGTGAAAATGTCCATGACAGCAAGAAGGGCTGAGCCCAGGGCGCCGGTGCACGTCAGGGGTTGACGACCACAGTCAGAGCGGGGAGGTGGGTGATGGGTAGACCAGGCTGGGTGCAGGGAACGGGGAGAGGGGATGGTTCCCCCAAGGTTTCAGGACGGGGCAAAGCCCTGAGCTCAGGCCTACGTGGGCCCCTGAAACCATGAAGGCTTGGAACCCCTGACCCACAGTGGGGCTACGCTGAGGCCAAGACCACACAGCTGGTTTGAGAGGCTCCCTGCAGCCCTCACGGGGCCATCCCAGATGGCGGGGACAAAGGTGGCTCCCTGGCTCCAGGGCCCCCAGGCCGCCTCCTGGAAGCCCTTTTCTGGCTCCCGTCACGCCCCCAGGGAGGCCTGTCCCCTGCTGGTCCCCTAGGTTCCAAGAGGGGCCAGGATCACTTGAAGTCCTTCTTCAGTCCTGGCGAGGGGTCTGGCCAGGGGGCTGCAGGCCCCATGGGAACGGCACACTAGCTCACCAGAAACTTCAGATGCAAACTGAATAATCCAACACGATGAGTAATTCAGCCTCTGGCACTGGCGCCAGCTGCGTGGCTGTTTCCCTGCTGGATTCCGTCACTACTTTGAAAGGTGGTAACACGTGGAAAGCAGAAGCCACCAGACAGGGTCATCGCTGCTGCTGCCTGGAGCTGGGCCAGAGCACCTCGCTCGGCATGGCAGGCCCCGCGTGCTCCCACCCCAGGGTCCTGTCCGGCCATGTGGGCTCCGGGGAAGAGCTGGAGGTGCTGGCCTGGCCCAGGCGGCCAGCTCGCTCCTTGGGCCCCGCCCCCACCTGGGGCGCTGGGACAGGTGGTTCCCTTTCCCACCCGCAGGGGCTGCTCCTCACGCTCCAGGGACGGGCAGGCCTTCGGTCACCCAGGGAACCCTGAGGGCCCGCCTCCCTGAGGGGCCAGCCCAGGATCTGGGCTCAGAGCACATCTCCTGTGCCCACACTCTGCCCGCCCCGGACCCCGCGGGGCACTACCCCACACTCAGTGCACTGGCGGGGCGTGCTGTCCTGCAGACGCCCCCAGCCCGCTCCCTGCCCCGGCCCGCGGTCACCTCCTGCCGGCCATCCACTCCCTGGCCTCCTGCCCACCCATGCCCACTGGGGGGCCAGCCCTCTCCTCTTCCTGGTCTCTTCTCAGAGCTCTCAGCACAGGGGTCTGTCTGTGGGGCTGGGGGGAACCCGAGCCCACCTGGAGGGTGGGGAGTGTTAGAAAGAGGGGTCATGACTCCCCGAGATGCCCAGAGCAGGGCCTGGGGAGGGGCTGGGCGGCCACGCGGGGCCGTGAGGGCCATGCCCCCCCTTCTCCTCCAGCTGCTGCCTGGAACCCCCTGTCCCCCGTGCTCCCAGGTGAAAATAGAGTTCACACAGCCTGAAAATGGAATCGCACTTCTCCCCAGCTCTGCTGCAGGTGGTAACCACAGGGGTGCGGCAGCACGGCAGCACCAGGCAGCCTTGGGTGAGTGCGGGGGCCTCGGTCACGAGCGGGACGTGGGGGCAACGGGGAGGCCGTGAGTCCTCAGGCCTCTGCCCGGCGGGATCCCCCGTCGCCCCCACCCTGGGCTCAGCTCGCCCGAGCCTCCCATCGGGGTCTCTGCGGCCAAAAGGAAAGTGATGTCTGGCTGAGGGGCCCACACCCCACTCTGTCCAGTGGTCACTCCCTTGCTGCACGACCCTCACAGGGTGAGTTCCCAAGATGCACCAGCAGTCCCTGCTCTGTGAGTGACCCCACCCATCGCTTTGCCATCCCCAACCCCAGAGGCCTCCTCCGCCCTCCACGGGCCGCCGGGACCAGGCCGGGGACCCTCCACAGGACACCCCATCAGAGGCCAGACTCAGTGCTTCCTGTGTCCCTCGAGGGCACAAGCTGCCAGCGCTCGGCGCGGGTCAGGCCTGGACTCCCTCAGCCGGTGATCTGCGTCCAGCAAGGACCAATTTGGCTGACAACCGAGCAGGCCCCCTGGGGTGGGCTTCAGGCTCAAGAAATCCTTCCCAGAAAGGCAGGCTAATGAGAGACCACCACACGGCATGTCCTCCCCACCCTGCCCCCTCCAGTTCCCCTCACTCAGACCTGAGCAAGGCTCGGCCTGTGCGGGTCCCGCTGGTGGGCCTGCATGCCGGGAGGCCCAGGAGGCGCTGTCTGGGCCTCGGGGGACCCTGTCTGCTCACTCAGGGGTCTTCCTTTGGTCCTGGGTTGGGGCCCTCCTCCTGTGCTTATGTCCAGGGGGCCCGGCAGCCCTGGTCAAGCAGCTCGGGCTTGCAGGGAGGAGTGGGCAGCTGAATCCAGGCCCCGTCCCTGTAGGCCCAGGGTAGGGGTGGCCGGAGGCCTGCCTCAGAGGACAAGGAAGCTGCAGCAGCCAGGCCCTTGCGGTGCAGTCCAGGGGGCCATCCAGCTGAGCAGGGCAGAGCCCAGCGACTGGGGCTCTGACACCACCAGCGCCAGTCAGAGGCACCCTGCTCACCCGGCAGCACCCTGGAGGGAAGGGGTGCCTGGGGGCCGGGCCCACCCCTGGATCACGTCCCTCTCCTGCAGGACCCTCAGCCCTCATCCATCCAGAGCTCAAGCCACCTGTGGTGCCCTCACCGCGTGGTCCACTGCCGCCCCAGGAGCTGTCCTGGTGGGGGCGGTGTAGGAAGGCAGGCGAGGCAAGCACCGTGAAGAGGCGGAGCGGTGGAGCCAGAGAGAGCTGGCGAGAGTGGCCTTCCAGGCAGCACACTGCGGGCAGGCCTGGCCCAGCCCAGATGGGTATGACCTCTATCCACCTTCAAGGCGGGAGCCCTCGAGGCCCTGGGACACCCCCTTCCCCAGACTACATCCCTAGCTGTTCAGGCTCAGTTGTGTCCGACTCTTTGTAACCCCATGGCCTGCAGCACTCTAGGCTTCCCTGCCCTTCACTATTTCCCAGGGCTCAAATTCATATCCACTGAGTTGATGATACCATCCAACCACCTCATCCTCTGTTGTTCTCTTCCCCTCCTGCCCTCAATCTGTCCCAGCATGAGGGTCTATTCCAATGAGTCAGCTCTTCACATCAGGTGGCCAAAATATTGTAACTTCAGCATCAGTCCTTCTCATGATTATTGAGGGTTGATTTCCTTTAGGACTGATTGATCCCCTTACAGTTCAAGGGATTCTCAAGAGTTTTCTCAAATGCCACAGTTCAAAGAAAGGCATCAATTCTTCAGCGGAGGTACTTTCAGGATTCATATGGGAATTACAGCATCACATGCAGAAAAGGAAAAAATGACAGAAACAGAAGGCATCCCAAACCAGAGAGAAGAGACTCCCCCTCCGCCCCCATGAGAAGCCTAGGAAGTGACTGAATCAAGTTAACCCCTCCTTCCTGGCCTGGGGGCTAGGCCCTGCCCAGTCCACGGGGCCTGTGGACCAGTCCCAGCCCAGGGCCAGGTGTGCACAGTGAGGAGCAGCACCCCACCAGTGCCTGTAGCTGCCCAGTACCCTGCCCTGTATCCAGGCTCTGCCCCCCACACCTATGTACCCTCCCCCAGCTGACTCCTGGAAAACCCTGGCCCAAGTCCCCCTAAATCTACCTGCACCCCAACACTCACCCAAAAGCAACACGCCTGCTGGGCTCACCACTGCCTGAGGGGCCCCTCCTGCCCCTTCCTGCCTCCCCTCCTCCTGACACCTCCCGGGGTGGCCCAGGACCCCGCAGATTGGAGGCCCATAAGCTGTGTCCTGGCCCTCAGGCCAGCTCCTCCCCAGCCTGGCTGGCCTGGGCCCGCCCCTACCTGTTAGCCGTGACAGTCCTTGGGACTCTCCAGGCCAGAACACCCGAGGGGGGAGCCTTCCCTTCTCCAGGGGATCTTCCCAACCCAGGGATCAAACCCAGGTCTCCTGCATTGCAGGTGGATTCTTTACCAGCTGAGCCACAGGGGAAGCCCAAATGCCCCCAGGAGCAGTCCCCAAAGGACGAGGTTCTGACCCACAGGTGGGTCTGGGGATCCTGGTCCTGAAACATCGCTCTCAGGGAGGAGTGTGTGTGCCAGGGACACGAGGGCAGGCAAGTGAAGGTGGGGGTGGAGTGGGGGTGCGTGGGGTGTGTGTGTCTGTGTGTGGGGTGTGTCTGTGTGGTGTGTGTGTGTGTCTGTGTGTGGGGTGTATCTGTGTGTGGTGTGTATGTGGTGCGGTGCGTGGTGTGTGTGTGTCTGTGTCTGGGGTGTATCTGTGTGTGTGTCTGTGGTGTGTATGTGGTGCGGTGCGTGGGGGGTGTGTGTGTGTGTGTGTGTGGTGTATGTGTGTATATCTGTGTGTGGTGTGTGTATGTGGTGTGGTACATGGTGTGTGTGTCTCTGTGTGTGGGGTGTGTCTGTGGTGTGTATGTGGTGCGGTGCGTGGTGTGTGTGTGTCTGTGTGTGTATGTGGTGTATGTGTGTGTGTATATCTGTGTGGGGTGTGTGTGGTGTGGTGCATGGTGTGTGTCTGTGAATGTGGTGTGTGTGTGTTGCTGCGCCCTCCGGGCAGCGAGCCCACCTCCCACGGCCGGGCTCTGGGGAGGGGCAGAGTCGTCGCCGAGGCCTGGGGCTGCGGCTCCTGGCAGGGCCCAGCGCGCCCGAGGGCGCCGGGGGACGGGGGCTCAGTGGCTGCAGCGCGAGGGGGTCTGAGCCGGCTTCATGCTGGACAGAGGGTCTCCTTTGGCCAGGATTCCCACCTCCGAACTCCACCTGGGCGGGAGTGCTTCTCCCAGGCCCGTTCACAGAGCTGGGGACAGTCACCTGTGCGTGCTGGGACAGGATGATTCCCGATGTCGGTGAGGGACCCGCCAGGCAGTCTGGGGTTTGGTCCTGCAGGAAGGGAACCACCGGGAGCAGGGGCCCATTTCTCCCAGGGCCCTGTGGGGCCCAAGGGGGTCTATCCCTGGGTCCCCCAAGGCAGAGCCTGGACTCGGGCCTGGGGCAGCAGTTCCTCTCTGAGGCCTCAGAAGTAGTGACCGGGGCAGGCAAGGAAGCCAGCGGGGGTCAGCAGCTGAGCTGGCCCAAGTCGTCTTCCTGGTTCACAAGCAAACGAGTCCTTTCCTTTCCACAAATGGGCATTGCCGGTAATCCAACAAGAGTGGGATTCCAGCCTGCTTTCTGTGCTGGAGCCAAGCACGTGGGCCTCCCCCGGCACCCGAGGGTCCCCAGCCCACAAACCCCGGGGGCAGGCAGCCTCCCCAAGGCAAGGAGAGCCACACAGCAGGAACGTGACGAGGGTCCGCCGTCAGGGGGCTTCCTGCAGGGGAGTCACAAGCCCAGCTCCTCCAGACTCAGGGCTCAGTGCCTGCCGGGACTCGGGGAGCCGCAGAGGCCACGGGGGATGGACTGGGAGGGACGGCCGGCATGGGACAAGGGTCGTGTCCCTCGCGACGCCCGTCACCCAGATGCTTGGGCACATGCTGGGTGGGGCTTCTACAGGGCGGGGGTGGCCAGACTAGGGGGTCCCGGGTCCAGACCCGACCTCTGCAGAGCCGCCCCCCAACACAGCCTCTGCAAGCAGGGGAACAACTGGTGGCGCCGGCTTAGGGCCAGGGTCACTCCCTGAGTCCCCGGGGGCCCACTGCAGGGGCCACACCTGGTCCCTGGAAGATGGAGACACTGGCGCCGTCACCCACCCTGGCGCTAACTCAGAGCCGGGGCGTGAGGAAGCGCCCACCAGACCCAGGGGAGGCAGGTCCTGCAGGGCCTGAGCTGGCGCCTGGAACGTGCGTGTGCACCCTCGGGCCTACTTGGGTCGTTTGCTGTTCCTCAGGAGGCCTCAGCCTGCGGAGGGCCAGGTTTACGCCTCCCAGGTGGTAAGGCGCCCACCTCAGCGGGGATGGAGCAGTGGCCAGGCCCTCAGTTTCCTCCCCTGCCCTCTGCTCAGGCCCGTTGCCCAGGATGGGGTGGGGGGGGGGACCCAGGGGCAGAGGTTGGAAGGTCCGGGGCCTCAGGAGCCCCCTCCTCCTCCGGGCCTCCAGGAGCCACAGGCTCGCCCTCTCCTGGACCAAGGAGGTCCCAGAGGCTTCGGGTCAGAATCCAGCTGCCCATACTCCCAGGTGAAGCCTGATCTGAGGACGTGCCCACGAGGGCACCATGGGGTGGGTCCTGGGAGGTGGCGCCCTCCTGAGTCTTCCTGGCATCACAGCTGCCGCAGTGACACATGTCGGCGCAGTGCCGGCAGAGCCCTGCAGGCTGCAGCTCCAGCACAGCCGGAGCACGCGGCCAGGAGGCGACGAGCCCTGGGATGCGGACACTCACAGGAGGCTGGACCGTCACCTCCGACCAAAACCACAAGGCGCGCAGCCGCTGCTGGCCCCAGGCCCACACTGCCCAGCCTTCCCGCCGCGACTGACCGCCCCGCCCAGGGCCCGTGGGGACCTGGCTCGGTGTGGGCGAGGAGCCTGGTGCTGCGGGGCAGGGTCCCTACGCTGCACCTCCACGGACAACAGCAGACAGGCTGGGAGGTGGAGAGGCAGCCGGAGACGAGGGTCATCAGAAAATAGTTTAATTCTGTACAGTGGTCACCAGGCTGATTACAGGGGAAGACACAAACGCTCACGGACAGACTCCGCAGGACAGCAGCGCAGCGCCATCCACCTCGCGGACACGCCACCGGACAGAACAAATCACAGCCGTGACACGCTGGGGGGAGCACGGAGTGTCACGCTTCCTCTGGGGCCAAGAGAGAAAATGAGAGGACTGGGAGGCTTTGGAATGCTTTCTCTTCTCCTGCCGGGAGCGGCATCGGCTCCGACCCGCTGAGTACATGGGCACGATGCGACGACTGGGTGCAGCCACGCCCGCCCACACCGCCAGAGCCCCGGCCACCCTCGAGGGCCGCTCACAGCTGCGGCTCCAGAGCCACATGCGCAGCCACAGTTCAGAAGAGCGGCCGGGAGCCCTGGCTCTCAAACTCAGCCCAGGCGTCATTGAGCTCCATGAAGATCATCCGGGCGTACTGCTCGTGGGGCTGCCCCCGGGCCTGCAGGGTGGACAGCACAGTAAGGGCGGCCTTCCCCGCACCTGCCCACCCCATCCGCACGCCCACCCCAACCCAGCACCCACCCTGTCCAGGGGACCCCCAACCTGGCGCCCACCCCAACCCGGCACCCACCCTGTCCAGGGGACCCCCAACCTGGTGCCCACCCCAACCCAGTGCCCACCGTGTCCGGGGGACCCCCAACTCCACACCCACTGTGTCTGGGGGACCCCCACCCCGGCGCCCGCACCCGCACCCACCTTGTCGGGGTGGACTACCAGCACGGCGCGGCGGTAGTGCTTCTTCACTTGTGCGGGCGTCACCAGGTCGGCCATGCCCACCGGCGTCCAGCGGCTCTCGCCATCCCACAGCGCTGTGTGCAACGTGGACAGCAGTGCGCGGATGTTCCTTTCCTTGCCCTCCGTCCACTCCAGGAGCTGTGGGAGATGAGGTACTGCTGAGGGGGCACTGGGCCCGGCCTGCACCAGCCCCACAGCTGGGCCCGGCTGTGGAGCCGGGCTCTGACCGTGAGACGCATAGCTCCGTTTCTGCACTGAGCCCCCGCCCCCCTGGCACAGCCAACACGTCCCTGGGTCTGGACGGACAGGACGTGGAGGAGACTGGTGTGTGGAACCAGGGACCCATCCTCGACGGGGTCGTCCACAGACCACCTGCCATCACGGCCTCCGCCTGTCCCTGGCCTGGGGCCCCAACGCCCGGCAGGAACAATGCCGGACTCCAGGGGGCCCTCAGAGGGCCCCATGGCCCCGTCTCCCAGCTGTCCTCCCAAGGTCAGGGTGTAAACACACAGACATCCGTCACCCTGCAGTCTCTGCGGGTCAGACCCTGACCAGGGTCACACCTGGCTGGTCTCAAGAGGTGTGAGAAGCTTAACGAGCACGAAGCCTCTTGTCCCAGCCATGTGAGGACAGCTGATCTTTCACCCCAGAGCTTTCAGAAGAGCAGTGCATGTGGACGGAAGCCCCCTCCCCGCAATGTGCTGCACAAAGGTCCTCACGTCTAAGCCAGCGGCTGGCTGGTTGCATCCCTCCCCTAGTACCTTCAGCTTCAGCGGATCTGAGTCCCGGGCCTGGTCCTGCCTCCTCATCTCAGCGATGGTCCGCGGCCCCTTCCTGTCGGCCCGCGAGGAGAAGCCCTGGTTGGACAACAGGTCTTCAAAATCGTTCTCTGACACCCTCGGCTTTGGACCTGCAAGTGAGCAGCGGGTGACAGCCTGCCCGCCCCTCCGCGCTATGCAGGGGCTCAAGGACTCCTCCGACAGAGGCACGGCTGAGACGGGCAACAGCCGACGGAGCTGCCTGAGCTGTGGGCCCACCACTGCGGGCGGCGTTGTGGCAGGTGTCGGGACCCCCCCCCCCGAGGCGGGTGCTGCAGTCAGGTCTGGCCCGGCCACCGCTGCCTGGCCAGCGCAACAGAGAAGGTTCCTGGACAGGGTGGCCTGGCCACCTGAAGTGCCTGCCAGGGGCAGAGGTCACCCAGACACTGGTCTGAAATCATGAACTTCCGTCCCATGGGGCTCCCATGGGTGGAGTCTCTTTAAACACCCTTCCCCAGGACTGAAATGAGCCGGACAAGATGTGGCTTCGCTGTACACCCTTCACGGGGCGGCAGGGGAACTCACCGAAGCTGGGGGCGCGGACTCCCCGCTCCTCCCGGCTGCCGATCACACTAAAGCTGGAGGTGTAGTTAGGCCTTGGCTGTACACTGGCTTTGGGGGGCGGCTTGGCATGGGGGGGCCACGGGGTGCCCTGGGCTGGGGGCCGACTCGTCTGCCAGGAGCCGCTGGCCTTGGGAGGGGGCGCTGCTTTGGGACCAAAGCCCCCAAGAGCAGATGTGGCAGGTGAGCCTGGGGAGACAGTTCCCGCGGGAGCGTCAGCGACAGCCCAGACAGGCTGCCCTGCAGGCGCTCAGGCCTCAGGACCATGCCCCAGGTCAGCAGCCGCGACGGGCTCCCCTCCCCACACACTCACACGCAGGACCAGTCCAGGAAGCTCAAAACCAGAGCCCAGAGCACCCAGCCCCTGACCAGCACACGTGGGCATCATGTGTCACGTGTATGGTCCTTGGCCACTTCATGCGTGTACAAGCAGCGGGGTCAAGACGGCCCTGTTTTCCGTTCTATGACCATCATCCCAAGAACATTCCAGAAGGGGAATCACAGGACAGGCGGCCTTTGTGATGCGCTCTTCTCCCTCAGGACACGCCCAGCTGCAGGCCGGTGGGTGGACGCACCATGGACTCCAGCAGGTTCCATCTGAGCCCACTGCCAGTGGCGGCCATGTGCGCTGGGGCCGGACCCCCGAGAAGCCCACACGGGCCTCTGGGGTCCCCCCAAGAAGGATGCCCGCCAGCTCTGTGCCTGGCGTTGCCCCCAACACGGGGTGTGGCTGCCGTCCTCTCTGCAGCTCACTCATCTCCAAGTCAGATGGGTCCACCTTTGTTTTTGCTGTTGCTGCTCCCACACGTGCAGGAGCTGTCACACGTGTGGTTCAGAGCTGTTTTCCCCACTCTAGCTTCTCATCCTGCTGACAGCCTTCAGCACAGCAAAAACTGCTGATTAAGTCCAATTTACCCATTTTTCTCTGATGGATCATGGTCCAGCTGACACGCCTTTCTGTTTTTCTAAAGGCTTTAGAAATCTGTGGCCGCTTCTGAGCAGTGGTCACTTACTTGCTATTTCAGGTGTGAAGTTCATGGCAAGGCCACTTTCCTTGCCCAGCGAGACTACGAATGGCTTTGCACCGCTGTCTTCCGCTCCTCCATCCTGCCCCGGGACCGGTGTGTCTGTCCTGACCACGCCACACAGGGCTAATTCCAGCAGCTAGAGTCCGCCAGGGCCTGGTGGGCTGAACTGACCACTTGCGCTAACTCTCCGATAAATTCTACAGTGAGTCCATCTGAATTCTGGTGGGGACTGAGCTGGCCCCTTGGCCATTGCTGGAGAGCCTTCCCCTCACTGGTCTCTGGGAGGCGAGCTAGTCTCCCTGTTCACTGAGGCCCTCCCCGACCTCCCGCATCCTGGGACCCTCTTCAACACACCCTGGGGCAAACAGCACGCTGTCTGCACATGGCCACACTGCCTGTCCCTTCTGCCCCTCTCCTACCTGCGTGCACTGCCGGGGTCAGCCCTGGAGAGCGTGTGGTCTTCCGAAACCCAGTGTGAGGCAGGCAGCAGGACTCAAGACGCGCCAGCTCAAGTCTACAGACTACGAGCCACTGGTCTGTCAAGAGTGCTCCCCACAGTGGGTTGGACTCCGGGGACACCTTTTCTGCACCATGGTATGATCACACAGTTCCCCTCCAGAGCCGTTAACATGGACCATGCCTGTGGGTTTGAGGATGTTGAGCCGGCCGTGCCTTCTGGGACAAGCCCTGTCTGGCTGTGGCGAGCTCTTGCGCTGGCCTCTGTGAGCGATGCTTCCCTGGGGTCTCTGGTTTTCTTCTGCATTGTCTCCGTCTGGTTTTGGCATCAGCCTCATAAAATCAACTGCAAAATATTCCCTCCTCTTCCTACTTCCTAGAAAGATCATGTAGAACTGGTGTGAGTTCTTTAAACATTTCGTAAAATTCTCCAGTGAATCCAGCTGGGCCTAGAGATCTCCATGGGTGGTTTTTAACTGAGCTCACTTTCGTCATGGTTACAGACCCTCTCCAACAACCTGCCTCCCCGGCATGGCCCCCTCACAGCAGGCCTAGGGGTGGGGCTGAGGCCGTGAGTCTGCTTTCCTTCGGCACCTCCAGGCTCTGTGGACGACTCATGCTAACCTCTCTTTTTAATCCAACTTAGGAGAGATTTATCAGCTTTACTAATCTTCTCAGAGAACTAACTTTTTGATCAACCCATTTTCTCTAGTTTTCTTTTTCACTGATGTGGGCTTTTCATCATTTCCGTCCTTCTATTTGCTTTGAGTTTACTTTGCTTTTCTTTACAAACACCTTTAGCTGAGAACTCATAATACCAGTGAGCCGTCTCCTCTTTTCCAAACTGCACACTCACTGTTATACATCTCCCTCCCGGCATTGCTTTAGCAGCATACCTCACGTTTAGCTATGCTGTGCTTTCATTCTGTTTGACAAGAGTTTTATTTCCCTTGAGACTTCCCACATAACCTGTGTTATTCAGAAGTGTGTCATTCAATTTCGAAGAGCTTGATTTCTCAGTTATCTCACCATCATTGATTTCTCCTTCGGTTTTGTCAGTCAGGGAACGATATGCTCTGCTGGTTTCAGTTCTAACGTGCTGAGGGCCGTTTATGGCCCAGGACATGGCCTTTCCTGTGGCTGCTTGGCTGCCTGAGGACCTGTGTCCTGCTCTGGGCAGCGTCCTGTGGAAGCCCCACGGCTTCACTGGCCTTCCGTCTGACGGCTCCATCTGTGCTGACACAGGGGTGCCAGGCTCTCCAGCCAGAATGTGGGCCTGTTTCTCCTATCATCTCCGTGAGCTTCACGCAGGACTCTGTTTTCTGAGTGGGGTGTGATGGACGTCTGGGGTCACAGTGCCAGGCTGAAGGCGGGGCTATACCCTGAGAACGGGCACCCCGGATCCTGAGAAGTCCTTTCCACCACAGGCAGCGCCCGAGAGGCTGGGGATGGCCCTGCCTCAAAGAGCCCAGGATAGAGGCAGAAAGCCCAGGACACACCCACAGTTCCAGTAATGCATTCAGGGAGACAAAGAAACCTTGTGAAACTCTGGAAAGCACCCGGAGATGTTATTTTCACCTAAAATTCCACATGCCTCCCAACTGCCAAGGGATGAGACAGGCACACGGCCTCCAAAGAATCAGCGTCCTTAGAGGTCTTCTCAGGAAGGACAGTGGCCGGTGGTGGATTCTGCACCCCAGGCCCAGCCCTGAGCAGGGCAGGCAGGCTCCACCACCCTGGGCTGAGGCAGCCCCCGGCTGGCCCCCACACCCCATGGAGCCGGCAGAGGGGCTAGTCCCTGTGCCTGCTCTGGCAGCTCCCGGCGTTGTCTTGGCAACAAGCTCCTGAAAGGAGGCAGAGGGGCCTCTCCTGGTGTTGCTGGGCCCTGGGGGACTGGGCAAAGCCGACCTCTGGGGGACGCAGAGCCCCCCCAGGGAGACCTGGTGCTCCCCACATACCTCAGGGGGGTGCAGACCCCCCCAGAGAGGCCTAGTGCTCCCCACGTGCCTCAGGTGGCCATCAGTTTACCTTGGAGGCCGGAACTGAGGTCACCGAGGTCTGCAAATGGGTCCTGGCTTTGAGACTTGGTCTGGCTGGCCGAAAGGCCAGGAGGGGCCGGCTGGTCTCCAGGAGAGAAGAAGGGGCCTGGAGAAAGGCAGGGGCATCAGAACCCGCGCACTGGAGGGGCACAGCCTCTGCCCCAGCTCACAAGCTGAAGGCCTCACTTGGCACAGTCACCTCACGTGGGACAAGGCCACACACACAGCAGGGCTGCCCCTGAGGCTCCGTGGGGGCGCTCACCCGACAGCCCGTACAGACCACCCGGGCCTGCCCCACCACCCCTCGGAACCCACCCGAAGTGTGAGTGTGTGCCCCGAGCTCTCCGTTAACTCTCAGTACTGTCCTGCCCCAGCTCCTGGGTCACTGGGGAGTCCCTGTGAGGTCATTACAAGCGACAGCAGCTCAGAAAGAGCTCTCATCGACCAATCAGAAAAAGGTGGCTCTCTGACGTATAAAACTGAAGAAGGTGGAACAGTTCTCAAATGAAATATAAATAACCAGACCCATACAAAACAAAAAACCACCTCACTCATAATGAAGAAAAGCAAACTGGAAGGACTGACAGCCCGTCAGACCACCAGAGGCCCGTCTGTGAAGGGCGTCCCCGGTGGCGCAGTGATGAAGAGCACACCTTCCAGGGCAGGAGCCCAGACAGACCCCGGCTGATCCCTGGGCTGGGACAATCCCCTGGAGGGTATGGGAACCACTCCAGGATTCTTGCCTGGTGAACCCCATGGACAGAAGAGCCTTGGAGGCTGCAGTCCACGGGGTCAAGGACAGACATGACTGAAGCAACTTAGCGTGCACATACACATCTGTAAAGTCACAGCCCGCCGATGAACAGAACTGACAGGGCATGTGGCACGGGCCTCACACACATTGCTGCCTCCAGAGCAACTCAGTACGGGGTCTCCTAGAGGACACAGGTGACGAGAGGCCAGACGCCCTCCCAGCCCCAGGAGGGCAGACCAGGACAGCCCGCGGCCTCCCTGGGGCCCTGCAGGAGGCATCGAGGAACAGCTGGGGTAAAAACTAACTTCAGAACCAGCCGCAGGTGTGGCACGGAGGGGCTGGGGCCCTGCTCCTGCCCCCCCTCCTGGGGCTGGCACAGTCCCCCCACTAACCGTCTGCAGCCAGCGTGGGGGCCGGCGCCTCGGCCCAGGTGCCCCAGGCTCCCAGCAGGTCGGGGTGGCTGGCGGAGGCAGCAGTCTTGCCGGGCTCGGAGGGCAGGGCCCCTGGGAGAACAGCAGCACTCTGAGCGTCCTCGGCAGGGCGGACACACAGCCGCACACGGGCTCTCGGGCCCTGGGGACAGGCTAGCCACGGCGCTGTCTGCGGGGCGCCCCCATCTCCTGCTTGGGCGGGTGGGAGGGAACTGGCACCCCAACAGCTGCCCTCAGGAGGTGGAGACCGGGCAGCCGGGAAGGGGGCCCCCAGGAGCTCCTGGGCACCCAAGCTCCCGCAGGCTGTGCTGACATCCTCTGGGCCGCCCTCCGACCGGTTCCCTTGGGCTGAGAATGCGGCGTGCGGGGTCAGCAAGTGGACATGCTGAGGGTGGTGCTGAGACCAGCATCTAAGAGGTTCCTCACCTGAGAGTTTCTCCAGGGGCCTCCTCCTGCTGCAGCCAGCCACACACCTACGCCCCCAAACCTGCCTCCCGCCCCCCTGAACCCAGCAGGGTGCACGGCACAGACACTTGCTGCGCCCCCGTCCTGGGGAAGGCAGGACCCGTGGCCATGCCCGCCCGTCCGCCCCCAGGAGCGGAGGCCTCCCTCACCCAGATGCAGGAAGTCAGTGCCGCAGGCTGGGGGTGGAGCGCTGTGGGTGGAGGGGAAGGGCGCGGGCTGGGCAGCCGAGGCGTCTGAGTTGAGGAATTCGCCGAAGAGGTCAGGCTGTGAGCTGGGGGGGGCGTCCGCGTCAGGTGGCAGCAGAAGCAGGCCGAATGGGTCAGCTGCGGCGACACCGAGCGGGCAGGCGTGAGCGCGGGCACTGCCAGGCACACTCAGCCCATGGCACTCACCCCGGGACAACCCTCCCCAGGCACCTGGGCCCCGAGTGGGAGGCAGCGCTGACCAGCGCCCGCCTCGCGATGGTGCAAGGTGCCTGAACGGCAGACCACTCCCAGCAGCAGCACCTACCATCCGGGGCAGTGGTCTGTGTGCAAGGGGCAGGGGCCGGGCTGCTAAAGAGCAGGGCCGTGTCCCCGTCAAGCAGGCCCCCCGCAGCTCCCTCTGGAGCAGGATCTGGGGCCCTGAGCAGGCAGCTGAGCAGGTCTGCATTGCTGGTGAGGCCGCCAGGGGCATGGGGGGTGGGCGCGGGCCCCGCCTCCACGTGCAGCCCCAGGAGGTCCACGCTGTCCTCCTGCTGCGTGGCGGGGCCGGGCACATCCTCGTCGCCCGTGTCCCCACTCTCCGCAGAGGGCGTTGGGGCTTCCTCATCGGACGGCTCGCTCACACGGCCATCCTCAGCCACAGCAGAGGGACCCTCCTCGGCCAGGGGACCCTCCGGGCCCGTCGTGGAGTCCCGGTCCTCTGCAAAAGAAGACGGCAGGACGGCTGTGGCTCAGCACGAGGGGGCGTTGAGGGGAGCCCCACGGGGCAGCCAGGCCCGCCGACCCACCCCGCCAGTCCAGCGTGTGCAGGAAGTGGTCGGCGTCCACGCTGCTGTGAGGCGAGTCCGCCTCCGGGGGCTCGGCGTCCGTGGGCCCGGCCTCAGCATCGTACTGTGCGGTGGACCCAGGCTGCCTGGGGAGCTCTGGCTTTCCTGCAGGAAGAAGGGGTGTCAGGCCTCCCACTCAAGGCTCCGGGACCAGGCCCAGGGCTGGGACGAACTTGCACGTCCAGAACCCACAGGACAATCGACGTGGGCCCATAACTGCTGCCCAAGGCCGCCCCAGGTCATACGTATGCACACATGTGTACCCATGCACACACAGGCGTGCACACAAGAGGTGCACATGCTTTTCAGGAATACTTAGCTATACCTCACATGAAAAATGGAGAAAAAGCCAGCCAAGACACAGGCAACTTGTGCCGTGGCCAAGGGAGCCGCAGGGAAACCACCAGCGGGCTTCCGGCACTCGCTCAGAAGCACTCTGGAAGGAAGCACCTTGACCCCGCGGACAGGGGGTCACCAGGATGACCTCTGCAGGGGGCCCTGTAGGTGTGCCCGCAATGCAGGATCTCACCAAACTTGGACAGGATGTCCTGCTGCTCCTCCCGGCTGGAGAAGAGGATCTTGGGGTTCAGCCCTCGCATGCCTGCACCCTCCCAGGGCGGAGCCTCACGGCCGGGCCGGTCTCTGGGCTCCACCTCCACCTCCAGGTTCACTTGGAACAGGTCAGGGTACTTCTCCTGGATGTCGCAAGCATCCAGGTCATACCTGTAGTTGGAGACCAGATGCAGGTTAGGAAGGACCACGGGCACTTCAGAGGTCACCCCAACGTCCACTAGGATGCAAGCGTGGGGCAGGGCTGTGTTCTCGGCGGGCAGCCTGCCCACGCCTCAAGCTCTGGACGTGCAAGCCCCCACCGAGCAAAGGATCAGAGGCGCCTGCAGGGTCTGAGAGCAGCAAGACCCGACCACACTCTCAGAGCAGAAGCCCAGCTCCCGTCACCCCTCAGGTCCTGGGGTTCAAATCAGATCAGGTCCTCAGATCATAAAATGCAGGTTCAAACAAAAACAATGCCATCCATCCTGGCAAAACCCTTGTGAACAGACGCCCACAAACCGAGACCTCTGGGAGCTGCTGCAGAGGCAGTGACCTACCCTGCAGGGCGGGAGCAGCCTGGCCGCAGCGGCCAGCTCGCTGAGCAGCCCTCCACCTGCAGGGAATTCCCGTCTGCTGCTCCTCCCCGAGGTCACCAGAGGACGGCACTGATCCCCGCCTGTTCCTCAGCCAGGCGGCAGGGGCCCACAGCTGATTCTCTGCTGGCCTCTGTGCTACTTACTGCGTGTGCGTGTTAGAAACAGTAAGGCGACGAGAGGAGGGACTAACAGGAATGATGGGTCCCCGAGGGCCTGAGGCGTCGCGCCTCAACAACGCGGGCTGAGCAAGCACACGTGACCCCAGTGTGACAGCCACCAGTCAGTCCTTGCCATTCCTCACAGCCACGGCCCCCTCTGCGCGCTGGGGGCACCGGGGGCCGGTGTGGGGTGAGGCCAGGCCCACGTGGGTGCAGGCAGAGTGGCCGCCCAGCCACAGGGCTCTCCTTCGGGTCCCAGCAGGGCACACCCAGAAGACAACGCAGGGACAGTCGGCCGTTGGGAGGAGAAGGCGCGGGGCCCACGGAGGGAGCCTGACAGCGACCGCAGTGAAGGGCCGGGGAGGGGCCCGTCCACGAGGTGGGGACCAGCCCACAGAGGGCATGAGGCTGCTGAAGCTCAGCTCCAGGACAGGAGGGCCCCGGGGCCCACTGCCGGCACCATGCTGGTGGCTACCCACCCCGCCTCCCCGCCCGGTCCAGCCCAGAGGTGGCCCCCAGGCCAGGGTCTCCACAGCCAGTGAGGACACAATGAGGTCTGTGACCAGAGGTGCAGCCCCCAGCGCCCCCAAGGGCTGCAGTCTTAAGAGGGCCCAGGCCCCACCCACTGGGCAGGGAACAAATTCACTGGCTTTCACCCCAGACTGCCCTGCCTACTCTCACCTGCTTCCCGCCCCCGTCACAGGAGGCCCCCCAAGGAATCTGAGTCCTTCTGAAAAGTGTTCTCTTTCAACAGCCCGTCAGGCACCCACTTGTCTTTTTCCTCACTAACCAATGAGTCCACTTCCAGAGGCCTAACCCACAATGAAGCACAGCTCCCCTGTCCACACAGAGTAAACCCAGTCTCCCTCCAGACACAAGCAGGACCACACCCCCAAGGGTGGCCGCCTCTCGGGCCATGGGGACCCCACGGGAGGCCCGAGGAAATACAAGGGGTCACAGACATGACACTGCATCTCACCATCCAACCACCAACAGCACTGGGGCTTCTTCCCAATATGGAGCCACTAAGCCTAAGGCTCTGGGAGCAGGGCTAACAGTGCCTCACTGTGCGTGTGAAAGTTCTCAGCATGAGGAGTTCTCATCATGAGAAGACTCTAACTCTGCGTGGCTTCCGGCACATTCCTTGGCGCCTTCACAGCCCTAAACTGCTTCCCGGGAAACAAGGGACACGGCGGCCCATCCAGGAGCTCACAGGCCATGTGGACACCATTCCTCTGAAGCACCAGAAGCCTCCCGCTCACCTTTAATGGGGGCTTTCTCTTTTCCACCCACACTCCCTTACATATCCTGGACACAGCCCCACAAGTCCACACGTTACACACGTGCCGCAAACATTCCGTTGCCTGGAAACATCTCTGACTGGCCGTGACTTTTGAAGGACGATTCCCCCAGACTTGGAATTACAAGTTGGTGATGCTCTCCTCCCGTTAAGTGCCCGCAAGTCGGCTCCACCGCATGGCTACACATCAGCTGCCGGTCTCCTTACTTTGAAGGCCACCCTGGGGACACTGGAAAGGTCATCTTCAGTTTTCAGCAATTTAACCACATCCCTTCCTTCTAAGAGCTGCTTGCTGTTTCCAGTTTGTTTTTTATTTGGCTGTACTGGAACTTCAGTTGTAGCACACGGGCTTTAGTTCCCTGACCAGGGATCGAACACAGGACCCCTCCATTAGGAGCTTTAGTCTTAACCGCTGGACCATTAGAGAAGTCCCTGTTTCCAGTTTTTCCAGTTTCGATTCTATGGTTTGACGTCTTCCAGATCAGCTTGAGAATTTCTGGCCAGTGGTTTTTCCAGCACTGTTTCCACCAAATCCTCTTCTCCTCGGGCTCCAAACAAAGGCCGCCTGACCTTTCCCCAGCACTAGACATCCCCACCTCCACCACGTTCCCGTGTCTACTCTGCTACCACATGTGCAGCTGAACTCTCAGTTCCGGCTGTGACGTTCCACAGCCCCCAGGTCACACCTGCCTCCTGTTTACCCACTCCAGCCCTGCAGTGAAAGCCCTGTGTTTCCCTGCACACATGAGCCAGCCAGTAAACGCCACCCCCAGCTCAGACGCAGGTCTTCTGCTCAGTCTTCTTCATCATCTGGCTTCTGAAGAGACACGTCTCAGGAAGCAAGGCCTATGGAAGCCCTGAGCCACCCTCCCTGAAGGAGAAAAAACCTGAGACCTAAAGATGTGACATTCCTCATCTGTCTCATTGTCACATAATACAGAACTCGGGGAATCAACGTGAAAACACACTAACAGACAAGAATGTGCCTTGAGGCTCTTAAAGGAGCAACATGTGGAAACATGAGAGGCACCTCCAGCCCACACCACTGATGCTGGGGGGCCTCCCCGAGCCATCACCACGAGCAGTGGCGCTTCCTGCAGGAGCCCTCTGGGGCCCTGCCAGTCTCCACCATGCGGCGTTCGTCTGTACCCCACCCGCAGCGAAGGTGTCGGTGCCCCAACCCCTCTCATCCTCCCACGGTGCGGCACCAACATACTTGGCAAACCTCACGGTAGCTGCGTTCCGAGGCACGAACCCTGTGTGAAACTGGATCTGGAACATCTTCATGGACGCCATCTGCGGGAGGAAGCACAGGAGTGGCCATCCTCGGGCCGGGTAGGGGCTCCACCAGGCGTCTCACGGGTCCCAGGGAGTGAGAGCCCCAGGCAGGGCTCCAGGTGGCGGGACACACAGACGTCAGGGCGATGCCTCCGCTGACAAGCAGCGCCTTGGGCCCACGGGGGAGCCCCAGGCCACAGCCCTGCAGGCCCTCGGGGCCGCGTCGAGGGCAGGTTCAGGCTGCCGACTGGCTCCGCCACGCAGGCGGGACTGGGGCTCTGACCGCGCCAAGGGCCAAGCTCGCCCGTGAGCCCAGCACTCCCCTTACCTTGGCCTGCAGCCTCCCCCCCAGCGTGGACCTTGCGTGGTAGATGACGACGAGCACGTCCCCCTGGACAGTTATGCCCAGCGGAATGACTGCCTTGCCATCCTCAATTTTAAAGTCTCTGGAGAACAGAACCAAGAGAAGCAGTTCCCTTACGTAAGTGAGAGGCGCATGCTGACGAAGACCATCCCGCAGATGGCGTCCATATTTCCTCCTGCCTGGTGATTTTTCCACCAAATTATGTCGGGGGTTGGGCAGGAGGATGCTTTAGGAAATGACTTCCAAGGACCCACTCAGCACAAAGACCTGGAGAAACTCCAAGGGCCCCGCCAGCCCTGCCTCCAGCCCACCCCACCCAGGCCCACCTCTCCCAGCCCCGCCGCCCCGAAGGTCCACCACCGGGCAGGAGGATGCTTTAGGAAATGACTTCCAAGGACCCACTCAGCACAAAGACCTGGAGAAACTCCAAGGGCCCCGCCAGCCCTGCCTCCAGCCCACCCCACCCAGGCCCACCTCTCCCAGCCCCGCCGCCCCGAAGGTCCACCACCCGGCCACATGCCCAGGGCACTGACGCCTCCCACAGCTCCTGGACCATGAGGCTGCGCAGACAGAAGGGCCTGTGCCCGAGCCCACCTCATCTTGTCGTATTCCTGGGACGTGGTGGTCACACGCTCGTCCCCCACGTAGACCTCACAGAAGGGCCTACAGCCACTCCTCTGCTTGCTGAAGAGTGGCACGGGCGTCATGACCACAGCCTTCACCAGGATGGGCTTGCTGTGGGGCGTGACGGGCTCCTCGGCCACCATGTCGCACATGTACTCGATGTACCTGGAGGGCAGGAGGCAAGCCGGTTCACATGTGCTCCATACTCGGCCCACTGCGATCATCCACGTGCTCCACGTGCAGCCCACTCGCTACGTCACATGCATGTTCCTTATCTCTGGAGCCCATCAGGACATCAACCTTATTTCAATCACATGTAAGCATTTCATGTGAAATTCCCCTCAAAGCAATGTTCTAGTATCATCTAGTGAATCAGATGTGATTTTCACTCAGTTCAAAATGTCTTTACATTTCCCTTGAGACTTCCTCTCTGACTCATGGCTACTCAGAAGTAGGTCTTTTCCCTTGGAAACATCTGCTGTCCTGGTTTCTGGATTAACTCCTCAATGGCCTGGGAACGCGTTTCACATGACTTCTATTGTTCTCAACCTGCTGCAATTCAAGGGCCCAGACTGGGCCTTTCCGAGAGCTCCGAGGCGCGTTTCTGTCGTGGGACATGCTGTGGCTCTGATCTGACCCGCTGACTTGCTCGACTGGCCACTGAGACCACCTGCGTCCTGCTCTGGATCTGCAATCTGCTCCTGCAGCTCCTTTTGTGGCTCCGCCCCCGCTGTGGCGCCGCCCGTCCCTGAGGCGCCGCCCCCTCTCTGTGGGGCCGCCATCTCTGGCCCTGTCTCCCAGGAACAAGCAGGGGCCACGACTGAATTTGAACCCACAACTGTCACATTCCACGTTACCAGAGCACTCTCGCCACTCCCGACAGCTGTGGTAGGACCGTCGTGTGCCAGGAGACCTGGGCACCTTTCACCAACAGCAAGAAGCCAGGACCCGTGAGCCATGTCCACAGCCTGAGTGAGCTGGGAAGCAGACTTAAGACCCAAGGAGTGGACTGTCTCAGAGGTGAGTCTGAGAGAAGCAGGCAGCCTGGGCAGTGAGAGCAGGCGGGTGACACGACCAGGAGTTCCGGCCTCTGGGCATGGCCCGCACACCCCCTCCCACCTCTATGAGGGCAAAGCGCAAGCCCACAGGTGCCATGAAGCGGCTCCCAACAACCACCCGCTCCCCGGCCCTAGCTTCCTGTCACAAGCTCCTGGGTCACCCGAGCATGTCCCAGGCCTCCCCTCGTGCCCTCAGCTCACTCTTGGCACCCACACTGGCCGCAGGGAGAGCGCCCGTGGTGGCTCCCGGCGGCCCAGGCGCGCCTTCTGGTTTGTCCTGAACCCTGCTGTGCCCTCCGGGTGTCTGAGGCTCGAGCTTTTCCGTTAACTTGGGGGAATCCTCAGGACCTCCTCTGGACTCCGTCTCTCCCAGGGGTGCGTCTGTCGGATCGTCTGACATGGCCCCTTGGCATTTACGCCCCTCCAGGGCATAGAGCTTCTGACAGGCTCCCTCCCTGCTCATGCACGGCCTCCAGCCCCCACTTACTTCGTCAAAGTCTCAAACACACGGCCTAGTAACCCCACACCTCCCGATACGGTTCCAAGTCTCGTGTGAAGGCCACCTCATCTGACTGTCCCCAGGGTGACCTCACGCCCTCTTGAGTGGCAGCCTCCCTCGCCAACCTGTCCTTGGGGTGCAGACCCCCGCCTGCATCCCCTGTGGGCCCTGTCCCTCCTGGGGCTGGCGGCCAGCCAAGGGCTCCAAGACAGCTTCTCCGAGGCATGGAGCAGGTGTGCTCAGAGCTGGCGCTGCTCTTTGGTTGCTGGGGGCGGGAGGGGGCAGACACTCCACACTTGTGCAACTCCGGGGCAGCAGCCTGGGGTCTAGTGGGGGCCCGGGGCCAGGCACACACCAGCAATGATCTGCTGGCTCTGACCACAGCCCTGAGTGGGGCCCTTGCTGCAGGCACAGCTCCGGAGCCCTGACTGTGCCTGCATTACAGGAGGCTGACATGCCGAAAGGGTCAGACGCTAGCCTGGCAGCCCAGCCCTTGCTCTCCTACGCCTTCTGCACAGAGGATGGGACCCCCAACCCCCACCAGCTGGAGCCACACAGAAGACGCGAGGGTGTGGCCAGCCCTCTCGGGGTTGAGGGACAAGGCGCTGCCCTGGGCAGTGAGCCAGCGGGCTGGGCCGACAACCAGGAGAGAGCGAGCCCCCCAGCCCACCAGCCAGGCCAGGCGGCCGCCCCGAGCGAGAGCGAGACCCACAGTGGCGCCTCGCCAGCCTGCACGCTCCCCAGCCCACCAGCCAGGCCGCGCGGCCGCCCCGAGCGAGAGCGAGACCCACAGTGGCGCCTCGCCAGCCTGCACGCCCCCCAGCCCACCAGCCAGGCCGCGCGGCCGCCCCGAGCGAGAGCGAGACCCACAGTGGCGCCTCGCCAGCCTGCACGCCCCCCAGCCCACCAGCCAGGCCGCGCGGCCGCCCCGAGCGAGAGCGAGACCCACAGTGGCGCCTCGCCAGCCTGCACGCCCCCCAGCCCACCAGCCAGGCCGCGCGGCCGCCCCGAGCGAGAGCGAGACCCACAGTGGCGCCTCGCCAGCCTGCACGCCCCCCAGCCCACCAGCCAGGCCGCGCGGCCGCCCCGAGCGAGAGCGAGACCCACAGTGGCGCCTCGCCAGCCTGCACGCCCCCCAGCCCACCAGCCAGGCCGTGCGGCCGCCCCGAGCGAGAGCGAGACCCACAGTGGCGCCTCGCCAGCCTGCACGCCCCCCAGCCCACCAGCCAGGCCAGGCGGCCGCCCCGAGCGAGAGCGAGACCCACAGTGGCGCCTCGCCAGCCTGCACGCTCCCCAGCCCACCAGCCAGGCCGCGCGGCCGCCCCGAGCGAGAGCGAGACCCACAGTGGCGCCTCGCCAGCCTGCACGCCCCCCAGCCCACCAGCCAGGCCAGGCGGCCGCCCCGAGCGAGAGCGAGACCCACAGTGGCGCCTCGCCAGCCTGCACGCCCCCCAGCCCACCAGCCAGGCCGCGCGGCCGCCCCGAGCGAGAGCGAGACCCACAGTGGCGCCTCGCCAGCCTGCACGCCCCCCAGCCCACCAGCCAGGCCGCGCGGCCGCCCCGAGCGAGAGCGAGACCCACAGTGGCGCCTCGCCAGCCTGCACGCCCCCCAGCCCACCAGCCAGGCCGCGCGGCCGCCCCGAGCGAGAGCGAGACCCACAGTGGCGCCTCGCCAGCCTGCACGCCCCCCAGCCCACCAGCCAGGCCGCGCGGCCGCCCCGAGCGAGAGCGAGACCCACAGTGGCGCCTCGCCAGCCTGCACGCCCCCCAGCCCACCAGCCAGGCCGCGCGGCCGCCCCGAGCGAGAGCGAGACCCACAGTGGCGCCTCGCCAGCCTGCACGCCCCCCAGCCCACCAGCCAGGCCGCGCGGCCGCCCCGAGCGAGAGCGAGACCCACAGTGGCGCCTCGCCAGCCTGCACGCCCCCCAGCCCACCAGCCAGGCCGCGCGGCCGCCCCGAGCGAGAGCGAGACCCACAGTGGCGCCTCGCCAGCCTGCACGCCCCCCAGCCCACCAGCCAGGCCGCGCGGCCGCCCCGAGCGAGAGCGAGACCCACAGTGGCGCCTCGCCAGCCTGCACGCCCCCCAGCCCACCAGCCAGGCCGCGCGGCCGCCCCGAGCGAGAGCGAGACCCACAGTGGCGCCTCGCCAGCCTGCACGCCCCCCAGCCCACCAGCCAGGCCGCGCGGCCGCCCCGAGCGAGAGCGAGACCCACAGTGGCGCCTCGCCAGCCTGCACGCCCCCCAGCCCACCAGCCAGGCCGCGCGGCCGCCCCGAGCGAGAGCGAGACCCACAGTGGCGCCTCGCCAGCCTGCACGCCCCCCAGCCCACCAGCCAGGCCGCGCGGCCGCCCCGAGCGAGAGCGAGACCCACAGTGGCGCCTCGCCAGCCTGCACGCTCCCCAGTCCCCCCCCAGCGTCAGGGCCCCCCCGAGTGAGAGCGAGACCCACAGTGGCGCCTCGCCAGCCTGCACGCTCCCCAGCCCACCAGCCAGGCCAGGCGGCTGCCCCGAGCGAGAGCGAGACCCACAGTGGCGCCTCGCCAGCCTGCACGCTCCCCAGTCCCCCCCCAGCGTCAGGGCCCCCCCGAGTGAGAGCGAGACCCACAGTGGCGCCTCGCCAGCCTGCACGCTCCCCAGTCTCCCCCCAGCGTCAGGGCCCCCCCGAGTGAGAGCGAGACCCACAGTGGCGCCTCGCCAGCCTGCACGCTCCCCAGTCTCCCCCCAGCGTCAGGGCCCCGGCTCTCCATGCTCCAAGGCCCTCCCCGCAGAAGAGGGGAGCCTTCCCAGGGACTCCAGGGGCCTAATGACTCCTCAGGCAGAGCACCAGGCGCCCTCTTGCTGTGAGGTGGATGGAAGCGAGGCAAGCTGGTCTGGGCGCAGGCAGTGGCCCCAGAAAGGTGGCGGGTGGGCAGGGGCCAGCTGCAGCCCCAGGAAACCATCTCATGTAAGCAGTCAGCAAAGACAGCCTGGAAACCCACGTGTCTCACAGACCCTGATGCAGGGGACACAGCACAGAGCGGGTGCTGCCCTCATGTGCGGCCAGAGAGACCCCAGATGCCGCTCCACCTGCGAAATGGAGCCACCAGGCCACATGCCCCCCGCCCACCAAGAGGCCACGACACTGGGAAAGACAGAGGTACTGCTCAAGGGCCCCGGTGGGGCAGGAAGTGAAGCCACCCAACTGTGCCCCCCGATGCCATACCCACACCCCACGGCAGACACCGTACCTCTTGTGGGATGGCCAGATGCCTGGCGGGCAGCGCTTCATGCTGAACATGTACACAGCAGCTTCCGCGGTGCTGAAGAGCCGGCAGAAGCACAAGAAGGAGCACACGGCCACGGCCGACGCCGCCCTCCCATCCTAGGACAGAGCACGGGGCGTGTGCGGGCGTTGCTCACTCCCGGGGACAGTCAGGGCCTCTGCCTGGGCTCCTTGGGGGGCTAAGGAAACCCTACCTGAGGCAAGGACGCAGGGCTCCACAGCAGAAGGCCTGAGGCGGCAGACCACACACTGCTCACCCTCACAGTCCCCACCCGACCTCTGCGCCCGGCCACCGACGGGCACCCGCATGACACCCCATCGTCATGCCTGACGTCACCAACACCAGAATGGCAGTGCTGACCTCCAAGGGTAGGTTCCAGCAGGTACTCCGCTGGACAGGATGTCCACAAACCCTCAGCCCCAGAAGAGGGTCAGACACAGGGTCCCAGAAGGCAGACCAGCCTCTGCAAGAGGGGACCCACCATCTTCCACCAAAGAGGCAGGAAGACCCACGTGAGGACAGTCTTCTGCCAGAAGCCTTGCTGCCAGGGGACCCAGGTGTGGACACAGCAGGTGCAGGGCCTGCACCCCCACCCTCCCCGACAGCCTCTATTCCCTCCAAGGTCTGCTGCCCTGGGATGACTGGACCCACCCTGGGGCACCATGCCTGGGCCACGGCCACAGGCCGGAGCAGAGCCACTGCCAGGAGCGGTGCCTGGCTTGGCGAGGAGCCCCGGAAGAGCCCGCCCAGATGGTCACTCCTGTGGCCCCCAGTGCCACCACCCGGGAGCCTGGAGGCCCCCTCTGCCCCGTGTGCCCAGGGAGCCTGGCCCGCTCACCATGCAGTGCACCACGCAGACATTGCCAGGGTCCCGGCGGAGCCAGCTGTGCATGTTCCTGCAGAGGCTATACAGGCTGCGGAGGCTCGGGGCCCGCCGGGCCGCCCAGCCGCAGTCGGAGACCTGCAGGGAGGGCGGCTCACCAGAGGGGTGCAGACATGGGCCTCCCCACACAACCCGACACCCCCCGCCCCGGGCATGCAGAGGACTCGGGCGCCAGGCTCCGCCGGACGCGGCCAAAGCTGCAGAGACTGCTGTGTCCGCGCTGTTTCCACGAGCTGAGCGACAGCAGAGGGCGCTGCGTGGCCTGTGTCCCCTCTGGGGGCACTGTGGGCTCGGCGACTGAGATCCTCAGAAACCGACCCCCGCCGCCCAGGAGGTATCCAGGCTGGACCCTGAGCATCGGCATGAGTCCGCTGCTCACCCGGTTGTGGAACTTGGAGGGCCGGTAGATCCGTGGGGACAGGTTGTAGACAGCGTAGCGGCCTGGGTGCTTCGAGTCCAGGAACAGCCGCACATCCTCAATGTTGTTCTTGATGGCCGACTCCACACCCTCCGCCGGGAACGACATGACTGAAAGACAGGAGCCCCTGCAGCCTCTCCAGCCATGAGCCGGACGGTCAGCCGTGTGAGGCCCCGCTGCTTGCGGCTGCTCGCCCATCAGTGCGGCGGTCCTGAGAAGGGGGGATCGGAGGCCCCTGCAGCCTCTCCAGCCGTGGGCCGGACGGTTAGCCGTGTGAGGCCCCACTACTCATGACTGCTGGCCCATCAGTATGGTGGTCCTGAGAAGGGGAGATCAGAGGGCCCTAGGCCCTGCCTTGCTGCTCGTCAGATCCCCAGGGATCACTGGACAGTGCCCCCCGAGACCCTCCTGAGACTCAGCCTCTACACAGCCTGAAGCACCACAGGGTCTCCAAGCGTCTGGACTTAATATGTGTGGCCTCACATCACTTCTCTGAAGACCTCAGCATTCCAGAATGTTCCAGACCAGAGGTGGGGGGGTTGACCGGGATCCTGGGTTGACGTGGGACTATCGGCTGCAGGGCCTGGGGGCACACTGGATGCAGGGGTGCACACCCGAGGCCGGCACCTGGCACACGGCACCAGACAGGAAAGAACCAAAAGACGTCCTCGCGGCTAAAGCTGGCAAACGTACCTGCGATTCTGGACGTGATGTAAGAAATATCCAGATCTCCCTTCGCATAGCTGGAATTAAGAACAAAGGGAACTTGGTTATCACAGGAAATTTCTACCATTAACTTGTGAGAGCCGAAACTGAAGCAAGTCCTTGAGAGGTTGCAGGGTTCAGGCTGCAGCCTGTCAGCATGCACGCATGTGCCTGGATGATTGCACACACGCGTATGTGTGCATGTGTGAAGTGACATCTACCTACGAGGTGAAGGAGAAATTATAAACCGCGAGGGGGAGGCAGGACCCAACAGGAAGGACTTTTATCCTCTCAGTACTAAAGGTGGGCACTGAGAGAGGGTTTGGGAGAGAGATGACAACAAAAATGAAGACAGAGCTTCTGACTCAGTACATCATGTCTGGCTAAACAATTACAAGGTACCGAGTGGCAAGAAGCAGTCTGAAGAGACAGAACAAGCACCAGAAGCAGACATGGCAGGGACGCTGGAGTTATCAGACTGGGAACTTACACAGCTGGGGTGGGGGCTTCTCTGGTGGCTCAGTGGTAAAGAACATGCCTGCCAATGCAGGGGACAAGGATTCGATTCCTGACCTGGGAAGATCCCACATGCCGCGGGGCAACTGAGACCGCGCATCACAAGTGCCGCAACCGCTGAGCCTCCGCTCTGGAAACCGGGGGCTGTGACCGCTGGGCCCACGCAGCCTGCAGCCCGTGCTCCGTGCTGGGAAGAGCAGAAGCCCCCGCTGGGAGAAGCCTGCGCGCCGCGGTGGGAGGGCAGCCCTCCGCGGCACAGCAGAGCAAAGCCCGCGCAGGCAGGGAGGCCCAGCAGCCGTGAAAGCGGGAGCGGCCGGGGCCGGCGCGCCGAGGGCGCTGACGGGCACAGCAGGCGGCGGGCAGGCCAGGCAGCGAGCACAGAGGTGGCGGCTCTAAGGGGGAGCCGGAAGGAGATGCGAGGCGGAGGCCCTGAGCAGGAAAGAGGGCTGCCTCTGATGCTGAGCAGGCTGCACATGGCTGAGGACAGCACAGAACACCCAAGGTCTGCGGAGTGAGCTTGTGACACAACGGGGACCCCAAAAGCAGACGAGAGGGAAGAGCAGAAGACACGCCATACATTTTAACTAAGAACTTCCCTGAATCAGCACCAGACACCAAACCACAGAACCAGGAAGCCCAGAGAACACCCAGCACGACAAATGCCAGAAAAACTACCCTAGGGCATGTCAGTTTCAACTTCCGGAAAAATCAAAGATAAAGACAAAATCCTGAAAGAAGCTCGGGGCAGGAGACACCACCTATAGGGGCCTGCGCTGAGCATTACGCCTGTGGCTTCACCCCAAAGCCCGCACAGGCCAGGAGTGAAGCCAGGTGTCTGCAGTGCTGGGAGAAAAACCAGCAGCCGGGCTCTGTACCCCGAGACCCCGTCCTCGAGAACTGAGGAGATATGAACAGCAGTGACGTGGGGATAGGAAGGTAGCTGTAGGGTTTCTGTGAAGTCAGGAAGCACACTGTCACACTGTGAAGTCAGGAATAGCATGCTATCTGAAAGTAGACCTGGGTCAGCTGGGAAGTGCACACGCCAGGGCAACCACTGAAACCAGCAAAGAAAGGATGTATAAGTGGTAAGGTGAGCAAGGAGAGAAAATGGGATCATAGAAAAGGTTCAATTAAAACCACAAAAAATAGAAAAAGAATGAAAAACAAAAAAACTAAGAACAAGAAAGCAACAAGGACTAGAAAACAGACGGCTGTTGTTCAGTCGCTCAGTCGTGTCCGACTCTTTGAGACCCCATGGACTGCAGCACTCCAGGCTTCCCTGTCCATCACCAGCTCCTGGAGCTTGCGCAAACTCATGTCCATCGCATCAGTGATGCCATCTCATCTTCTGTCGTCCCCTTCTCCTCCTGCCTTGACTCTTTCTCAACATCAGGGTCTTTTCCAAGGAGTCAGCTCTTCGCATCAAGTGGCCAAAGTATTGGAGCTTCAGCATCAGTCGTTCCAATGAATATTCAAGGTTGATCTCCTTTAGGATTGACTGGTTGGATCTCCTCGCAGTCCAAGGGACTCTCAAGAGTCTTCTCCAACACCACAGTTCAAAACCATCAATTCTTTGGCACTCAGTCTTCGTTATGGTCCAGCTCTCACATTCATACATGACCACTGGGAAAATCACAGCTTTGACTAGATGGACCTTCATTAGCAAAGTAACGTCTCTGCTTTTTAACGTGCTGTTTGAAGCCAGTGTCTTCACTCTGCTCTTTTACGTAATCTCATCAACAGGCTCTTTGGCTCGTCTCTGCTTTACGCCTTTAGGGTGGTGTCACCTGCGTATCTCAAGTTATTGATATTTCTTCTGGCAATCTTGATTCCAGCTTGTGCTTCATCCCTACTAATCCAACCCCAGGCGCTGTGGAGACACGGCAAGCTCAGCTCCAGTCCCCCGCAGTGAGCCGGGACCCAGCAAAGCGAGCCATGCAGACTTCAGCACGTATTAGTTACGTTCACATTACTCTGGGGTCTGTTATGCCCAAAGACAGTGCCATCCCTTCAATTAAAAGTATTTCATTACTAAAAACCGCTGTTGTCCAAGCCCTTCAGCGGGTCTCATAGCAACACAGAAGGCCACTCACTGATCACAGATACAACAACACATACAATAATGACGAAACATCTGAAGTGTTCCAAGAACTACCAAGTGGGACGTGGAGACACAAAGTGAACAGATGCTGTTGGGAAAAGGTGCCTACAGACTCGCGGACGTGGGGCTGGCACAGACCTGCCTGTGTGAGAAATGCAGGGAAGCGAGGCTGGCCTGTGTGCCAATAAGCACTTTACACACTGGTGACCGACGTACCAACTGACAGACTGTCAGAGTGGGTCAAAACACACAACCCAGCGATGCGGTCTACGACCAGCACAGAGCTGACCCTCTTCTGTGTTTATTCACACTTCGTTTTGCTGCTTAGTCACCAAGTCGCGTCCACCTCTCTGCGACCCCATGGATGATATAGCCAGCCAGGCTCCCCTGTCCAGGGAATTCTCCAGGCAAGAGTACTGGAGTGGGTTGCCATGCGCTCCTCCAGGGGATCTTCCTGACCCAGGAACCAAAGCCCCGTCTCTTTTGTCTCCTGCATTGGCAGGCGGGTTCTTTACCTCTAGTACCACCTGGGAAGCCATGAAGCTCCATGCGCTGTCACTCAATCATGACCGACTCGGTGACCATGGACTGCAGCCCGCCAGGCTCCTCTGTCCGTGAGATTCTCCAGGCAAGAATACTGGAGTGGGTAGCCATTTCCCTTCTCCAGGGGATCTTCCCAACTCAGGGATCGAACCCAGGTCTCCCGCAATTGCAGGTGGGTTCTTTACTAACTGAGCCTCGCGGGAAGCTTATTATAATCCTATGGATACTAGTCATGATTCACACAGTTTGAACGTATTTACTCCCAATCCACTGCCACATTCTCTTATTAAAGAAATGTGCTTTTTCAAGGAACACAGAATTTTTAAGTCATTTAAATTTATTAACCACTTCTCCAAGGCTTATATGCTTTTAGTCACATTTAAGATATCTTTCTTACTCTGGTGTTATAAAAACATCTCTTCATATTTTATCAGCTTTTCCTAAGAAATGGCTTTTCACGATCAGATCTGTTAACAGATCAGATCTACTATATCTTGCTGTTATTATACGAGATCCAATTTTTTCTTTGACACATACGCATGATCTCAGCAGCATACACTCGTTAGGTTATTTTCTTCAGACTCACAGCTCATGTTTCATACCACCCCTCCCTAAGTACGTGTCATGGGTGAGTCTAAACACATCTAACAACAGATGCTTGAAAAAAATTGACATAAAATAAGTTCGTCTCTGTTCTTATTTTTAAAAACATTGCTGGCAATTTTGGGTAACTTACATGTGAATTTTGGGATCAGAATCTGTGGCAACATCAGGATTTTCATTTTTAAAGCAAAGAATTTGTAGATGAACTGAGGAGTGACATGACCTCTAAAATGTGAATTCCCCCAAACTTAAAGACAGCCGACTTCCCCACTGCAGTCTGCTGCTTCGGTCTTCATCACTGGCGGGGGGCTCCCTCTGCAGGTCCAGCCTGGGTGGGCCAGTCACTCTCACTACCGCCCACCCCCGACCCCTGCCTGCACCATGCGGCCACCAGGAGAGGCAGCCCCTGAAGACCAGCTGTCCTGAAACGAACCATGAGGTGGGGAAAACCCACGCCCTCAGAGACCACACAGCAACGTGACAGGTTTACTCTCAACCGCACATGAAGCAGAGCTGAGTGAGGGCAGCTGACGCCCTCAGGTGGGCAGAGGGGGTGCCCGCCTCCTGTGCGGGGGGTGAGCAGGGCTCGAGCCAAGTCCCCAAAGGAAGGTCTGGGCGCATCAGAAAGTCAAACCTGCAACCACAGGGCCATCAAAGCTACATCTCCAGTATACTGAAACGTTTATAATGTGTCTTTCTTTTTCCCCCTGGCTGCACCATGTGGTTCCCTGACCAAGGACAGAACCCAAGCCCATAGGAGTGAAAGCAAAGAGTCCCGACCACAGGAAGGCCAGGGCAGGCCTGCTCTATTGACAAGCCAGGCAGGATAGGCCTCCATGGCAGAAGACGGAGGGCACAGAGGGAGTGTGGACAAACCTGTGGCCAAGCGACGCCAGCAGCAGGCGTGGAGAGTGCCGGCCACGTTCACTACATTCACAGTCTATAGCATACGACACAAAGTCAGCGGGAGAAACAAACACTGTCAGGAAACAGAGCAAAGGCCGGAGCAGCAGTTCACAAGGACACGCGGCCGGAGGTCTGCGTCCCAGGCCCAGAGGCCACGAGGCTGCACATAGGACGCTGAGTGCTGGGGCGGCTGGCACAGCCCGGCCACGCGCCCCGTTGCCCCTGTGAGGGACCAGGGCACCAGCACGGGGGTGGGCAGGTCAGACACACCATACTGGGAACTGAGGGCGCCTGGCGGAGGCGGCCGTGAGAACCTGGCGTGTGGGACCTGCGCCTAAAGCCACTGAGAAACCAACAAGAGAACACAGACATGTGCACATATGGGGCCTGGGCCTAAAACCAAGAGACCACAGACGGGCAGGAGCTCAGGATCAGGACTGCGAGCCAGAGGCCACAGGGCGGGTTCACACACCCTGAGAAAGGGTCCCGCCTGCAGACCCGGAGTGGAGTGGCCCTGGAGGGGCCCTGTCACCAGGCCCTGACTGGATCCTGTGCCAGACCTGGAGAAAGCCCCTGGCGAGCTCAAGCATCGTGGCTGCTGCGCTTGTCTGACTCACAGGGCGAAGGCCATTCCCTGCAAACCATCTGCCCCCCTGGGGGTCGAGGCCCACAGGCCCAGGGTGCGCTCCCCGCACACTTGCGAGCCGGTGGCCGCAGGGACGCCCCTCTCCCAGCCAGCGTCCAGAGCTGGGTCCCCACATCTGGTCTTGCCCTGTGTGGGGAACGGCCTCCTTGCTTTCAGGGAGGGTCTGAGGTCCCGTCCACCCCGTCCTGGCCCTGCTGTGGGGAGTGCAGTAACAGGTCACCATCCAGGGGCATCATTGTGCCAGGCCTCAGCATGGAGCCCCTAGACAAGTGCGCTCAGGCCCGTACCTTAAACCAGCTTCACAAGCAACGGGGCATCCCGGGCAGGAGGCAGCTACCCACCTGGCCCTGGTGCTCAGAGGGGCTTCCAGCAAGGCTGGCCCCACAGGCGTGTACCTCAGCCTCGTGGGAACTCGGTTCCCAGCAAGGCCGAGCGGCTTCTCTCAAGTCTGCTGACTGCTGTCGGCCTGCTGTTCCTGCTGGGTCCACCCAAGACCCCATGACGAGCCCCACTGGGAGGAAGACAGGAGGATGTGAGTGCGGCCGTGGGCACCTCGTCAGTGGAAGTGCAGGGAGAGCTGCAGGCTGGGGGCAGCCACCACACGCAAGGTCACCCTCCGCCCCCGGGACTCAGCGGCACAGACGGCTGACGGGGAGGCCCCGAGCAGGGCCCTCTGCCCACCCACAGCAGGGCCCTCCGGCCCGCGACAGCCGCGCCGCCTCTTGTGGTCAGGACTCTGGGCAGCCAGGTACCAGACCGACAGATGTACCTCTGACCTTCCTGCTGGCGACGAGGTGCAGCCCGGGCACCTCAAAGGGCCACACCGCGCAGGGGCGAGCAGGCACCCTGCCCGGCCAAAGCCCGCGCTGGGTGGACACCAAGCTCCTCTCATCCCACACGGTCATAGCAGAGGCAAAGCAGTGGGGCACCACCGAGTCCACCTCGTGCACAGATGCGTGCACACACATGCCCACTCACACTCAGGCACGAGCACGTGAGCCCCTGTGTCCCCAACAGCGTGGGTGTACAATAACAACCACGGCACAGAGAAGACAAGTGAGGCCTGCATGACTGTGGGGGCTGCATTATCCAGCGGCTCACAGCACAGACACACAGGCCTCCCCTGCCCCAACGAGGCAGGCACATGTCAGACAGAACCTGACTCCTGGGACTCCCTGGTCAAAGCAAAGACCTATCGGAGAACAGCACAAGCAGGCTGTGTGCGTGGCTGCCATCTCCGTGGACAGGGCCACCCTCAGGAGAGACACGGCCCAGACCCAGTGGGTATGGTCTCCAGCACATGCCCTCCAGCGCGAGGGCAGGATGTGGTGACACCTGAGCTCGCATGGGGGGGCCAGGCTGATGCTGAGCACGCACGCTCACCCGGCCGTAAGTGCGGGTTCTGCACGTCTGGACGCAGGTCCGCGCCCAAGGCTTCAAAAATCACACAGCAGAGAACCCATGTGCCTGTGCGTCCTTAACTCACTTAGCAACGGACTGGATGACCTTGGAGGAGGTGTCCTTGATGTTGGTGAAGAGGCGCTCGGTGCCCCCACGCAGAATGTCCAGGAACCCGCCATAAGGCTGCTCGTACTCAGCGACCACCAGACCTGCAGGCAGAGACAGACGTGTCCAGAAGCCCGGGCGCCACAGCAGGCACGTCCCTCAGCCTGGGCCAGCATCCTCCACCTGCGTTCCATGCCCCGGCGCGAGAGTGAGCTGGGTAGAAATGAACCCAGGGCCGAGCCTGGCTACATCCGCAGGCCAGAGCCCTTGGGCGCGTGAGGCTGTTCCCATGTCCCAGACATTCACCCAACTCACTCCCAGCGCCTGCTGGGCACCAGCAGGGACGCCGCCTCTGACAGACACAGGCCGGAGCCCAGCGGGGGTGACCAGGCTGGTACACAAGGTACAAACACGCCCACAGACGCAGGCTGCAGATGCGTGGGGAGGAGAGCGGAGAGGAGGGGGCAGGAGCAGGGCCGCGTGCGGCACAGGAAGGCCACGGTGGCCCCCCGCTCTGCTGGTCTGCAGGGCAACAGGCCCCCAGAGGCCACCCTGACGAGGCCGGAGCAGCAGCCCACAAAGGCCCCGACACCAGGGTCCAGGGCACGACTACACCGAGGTCGTGAGCGCACAGGTCGGGGTGAGGACGGAAAGGAGGCTCCACACGCACCCGTGAGGGGCAGCCTGTGGCCTCTGGATCCAGGGGCAACGCGTGACACCTCTGCCAGCCCTCTGCCAGGCACCCCGCACGCACGTGGGGTGTCTGTCCAGGCCCCCCACACTGTGCCCCAAGGAGGCAGCTGAGCCAGAGCCACTCTGGTGAACAAGGAGCTAGGACACGGGCTGGCCAGCTGCCAGCATCAGCCCTGGAGGCGACGAGTTGCAGCATGACCCTGACAGTGAGGGAGGGATGGCCCTGGAGACACAGGGCAGAGGCGTGTCTGGAACCTTCTGGGGCAGCCACACTGAAGGCTGGCTGCACCGGCCCCCAGAACCCCCAGGCTAACTAGCAAATCAAGAGCAACCCTCTCAGCAAACACGCCCGAGCCATGAATAAAGTCCACCGGCCCCCCGCTCCTCGCCAGATCCACCTCCCCACCCAAGCCCTCTTCACAGTGAGCAGACACGGCCCCTGTGGTCCCCACACAGCCGCTCTGCTCCCTCACGCACCTCCTCCGGGGCCACCCCCGGAGTCACCGTGGGCTAGCCTCAAGGAGCCCCCGCATCTGACCGGGCAGGGGCCACATTCACTGGAGACCCTTGCGGCCAACCCAGTCCCCCGGGGGCCCAAGGCTGAGGCAGCCTACAGGCAGTCCCCCCAGAGCCCCTCGGGCGAGACTGGGGTTCAGAGGACCCAGGCTGCCCCGATGGCGGGCAGGGCAGAAGGCAGGTGCCCAGCCTCTGGCCCCCTCGCTGGTCCTGAGCCTCACCAAGGAACGGCCCTGCTGAGTCTAGGGGCGGCTCAGGAATCGTGAACTGGGTTCCCAGGGATACTCACCGCTGCCCGTGGAGCCGGGAGGGGCCGCATGCCCATAGCCTCCATTCTGCTCCAGGAGCTGGAAAGGTGCAAACTCGCGTCAGGCCAGGCAATCGGGACACATCACCCACCAAGTCCACCCTCCTCCACCTGGCTCGTTATAGAACCACAAAGGACCCCCCAGGATCCCGACGAGTCCTAGAACCCAGGGCTGGTCCGTGGGGCCACCCAGGCACACAGCTCCATTCACAACACAGGCAGCAGCCGTGAACCCACCCCACCCACCGAGCCCGCAGGCCCTGTTGTCGACAGGACACAGCACGGGACCCGTGGAGGCTCAGGCGGGATGACCACCACGAAGCGCGGCCACAGAGCACAGCGCTTGTCCCGGGAGCTAAGCCCGAGGCCGCGTCAGCTGCCGTCGCAACACAAGCACCCTGGAGACCTCAGGCTCCCCACGACGGGCGCAGATGAGCCTACTGCCTCGCACTCTCCCAGCCGGAGCAACTGCAGCTCCGCGTCCACTCTCTACAAGCGACGCAAAAGTTCTCTGAAGTCTCTTCCAGAGTTTCTGAGCATTCTTACTTTCAGGTTAACATGACACATTAAACTCAAGAAACACTCTATTATGGCCTCTATGGTATGCAATGCACCAGAAGTGGTCAGTGATAAATGGACTACTCCAAGGAATCTTAAAAATAACACCAGCAAAACGTCAGGCACATGTGTCTTAGCTCAACTGTGTCATTCACTCAGAAATCAAAAACTTTGTTTTTTTGTTTCATCAGCTTCCCGAAAACATGGAGCACCTCTTGGTGGGACTACAGGCTCCACACCGGCTCGGAAGCTGCAGGGAACGTGCTCTGAGGACGCGGGGAACATGTTCGGAGGCCCCAGGCCGCAGCGTACAGAGCCTCCGGCACTCCCGACTCCAGCCCAGCCTCCTGGTCTCAGAGTCCATCAGGGCCAGTGAGGACCAGCTGACTTCTCTCCCTCGAGGCCCCGGGCAGAAAAGCCCTACAGCGGGGTGTAGGGCTGGGCTGACATCTGACCCCCAGGCCCCAGGCTCTAGAAGCACTTGGAGCAGCGCGTGCTCACGAGCCCCAGTGGGAGCAGCCTGAGTGCTTCCTCAGGAGCACGCGCGGGCTGGCTGCCCCTGGGTCTCGGGCCCAAACGCCACCCGAGGCTTGGCCCACCCGGGGGCCCAGGTTCTCTGAAAATACCACAGGGCAGCCCAGGCCGGCCTGCCTCAGCGGCCTTCTCCTCCTCGCCACTGGCCTCTCTGAACCTCTGAGCCTCACCCCGGGCTCTGTCTCCCGGCTCCAGGAACCCCACAGGGCGGCACACTGCCCCTCAGGCGACCCCGGGGGCTCCTCCCTCCGCAAGAGCCGAGTGAAGACAGACCACCTGACCACCTGGCTCTAAAGCGACACAGCATTATCGCAAGCAGCACGTGGAAGCCCACCTCGGTGATGGGTGACTTGGGGTTCACGTTGCAGGCGGCCGCGATCTCCTGGAGCTGGTTGACCAGCTCGGTAACGGACAACCGCTCCTCCGGGTTGACCTTGAGCATGGCACCTACGGCAGAGGCAGAGCTCATCCTGAGGGCGGCAGGGCTGGCGCCCCGGGCGGGCAGCACCCCTCGCTCTGCAGGGCGGTGGGCCCTGGAGGCCCGTGTCTTGCTTACACTACTGCTTTTAAAAGCAAGCAGGGAAGGAAGATGTGAAGAACAAGATCAGCAGAAGCTGCCACTCAGGACACGTGCTCAGGGTGGGGTGGGCTGCGCTGGGACTTACGGATGAGGCCATGGAACACGGAGTACCGTGTGTCGTCGGCGGGGATCGCGTACTTCCCATTAACGATGCGAAGCTTCGCCCCGTCCTCAAACGGGTGCTGCCCAAAGCAGAGCAGGTATAGGATGCAGCCCAGGGCCTGTGGAGACAGGAATGCCTGCCGGCTCTGCCCCGTCCGCTGGCCACGGTCTACACTCGCGGGGCGCAGACACCAGCCAAGTCAGAGTGGCCAATAAAGCTGAACCCTCCGTTCTCTGATGAGAAAGTCCTTTCCAAACACCAAGCTCCTATCCCAGGGTGGGCTCTACCCGCCAAGCGGCCGTGCTGAGCGCCAGGGACGAGTCGGGGGCTGCCGGCCCCGCACCCCTTCCCTGCCTCCACCACAGCACCTGCCACAGGAGGACAGGAAACCAAGACTGTCCAGCATGTTGAGGGGACTGAGGCTCATGCGGGGCCCAGACCAGGCCAAGCCCCACCTTCCAGCTCATGCATGCGGTCCTTGGGCTGGGACGGGCTGGAGGCGTCCACTTGGAGTCAACCAGCTCACACGTGTCCACCAGTCTCCACTCACCAGCACAAGGCTCCCCAAGCACTGGGGCCGTGGGTCACGGGCCTACTGGACCTGGATGGGAGCCTTGAGGTGGGGGTTCAGGGCCCCCGAGTCCTGCTCTCAGGGCACCAGGGAGGCCACAGGGCACCTCGGATGGGCAGGAGCAGGGCTCCCTGAGCTCCAAGCCGTAATGCTGAACCAAGGGGTCAGTAGACACCCACTCAGTCAGGCCCCACATTCAGCGTACACAGGGACCGCCCTCCACCGACGGGACGTGTCCTAGAGGATGGGCCTGACCTCACTCTGAGACCCCGTAAGGCCTAGGGCCCAGTCACAGCTCCGGCATCACCAGGTCAGCACACAGCTGCAAGGCCATCCAGAAGGCCCAACGCTGGCCACGCAGACTGGCTCTGTGAGCCCTAGCCTTCGAAGGGGCTTGGACCAGACAAGCTCAGGTCCAGGCATGCAGGAACAACCCATCTCGGGCTGGGGCTGGGCAACACTGGCCTCCACCCCTCAGCGCCCCACCGTCAGCACCTGTCCACTGACAGTGTCTCCAGGGCCGCAGAAAAGGAGAAAGAACCACCAGAGGAGAGGAAGAGAAAGGGGAGACGAGGGCTGGGGGGCTGCGGCCTCACCCAGGCCCCGGGGGCCAGCCGGGCTGCCCAGGCCCGGGGGCCAGCCGCCTTACCCAGATGTCCTGCTTCTCGCCAATCGGGAAGTTCGAGTACAAGTCCACGATTTCTGGCGTCCTGTACATGGGCGTCGTGTTCCTCGTGATCTGAAGAGAGGAGAACGTGTCGGAGGAAAAGACACAAGCCCGTTACACCTGCTGTGGCAATCCTGGGCCGCGGGGCCCGGCGCGGGCCCGGAGGCCTGGCCAGGGCGGTCACACGAGGCCCTGCACGGGGGCCCCTGAAGTGTGCTGGGTACATGGGGCCAGCACCACGGATGCGAAGGATCGGCAGCCACCCAGGAGTCCTCGTGCACCACCAACAGTGGAAGAGGGTGCGTGGCGAGCAGGGGTCACGCGGCTGCAGGACCCGCTCCAGGTGCTGTGACCAGGGCCCCAGGGCGAGCTGCAGACCGGGCCCCAGGCAGGACGCATCTGCAGCCCCGAGGCGCAGCTGCCCCCCAGTGAGCGCGGCCTCCAGGGAGAGAGCAGAGCGGCGGCGGGGACGGGCGCTGCCCGTGGCGGCCCTGGCTTCTGGTCTCATGCTGTGCTCTGCTGGTGCGGGTTCCGGGGCCGCGTCTGCGAGCACGTGCCCCCAGTGCAAGAGCACAGTGTGAGTGTGCAGGCGGCTGCCCCAGCAGGGGCCGTCTGTGCCCACTCAGTGCCACTTGCTGCTCACAGGGGCTTGAACTCGCCCACCAGTCTCCCCGGGGGGCTCCTGTGGTCACCTGCCGAACCACCCTGAAGGCAGGTTTTTACATGATGCTTTAAAGTGCCACATTTAAAAAGGGGACCGCACGCTTAAAAACGGTTACGGCGGGAAATTTTACATTGCAACTTTGCCACATCAAGAAAAAAGCAAGGGAAGAGCCAGCCAGAGCAGGCACGGTCGGCGGTGGTGTCCTGGCGGCCACACTTACCTCCTCCTCCACTAGGGCCCGGCGCTGGGCACTCCAGCTATAGTCTGGGTAGTGCGAGATGGTCGTGGCACTGCCAAAGTCGCACAGCTTGATGGTCCCCTGGTTACTAAGCAGCAAGTTTTCAACCTGCAAAGTTCCAGGAAACAGTCTGTGAGGCCGGGCTGCAGGCTGCACTGTGGACAGCAGGGGGCTGGGTGGGCAGGGGCCCAAAGGGCAGACCGGCCAGGGAGTCTTCTGGGCAAAGGGGACACTCCTTTCTGACCAAAATCGGTGTGTGTACCTTAAAACGGGACAGTCACATAAACAAACGGAAGGTAAAATCCACCACAAATCAAAGATAAGCTAGTAATATGTGATATATACAATATATATAGGATACATACAATAAAAACCTTTAGAAAACTTAAAAGATGAGAAAAAATTAACATACCAATTAAAAGTCACCAAACACATTAATAACTGAGGAAGAAACCTAACAAAAGATACACGGAAGACCTCTTATTCAGAAACTGTGAATAAATGAGACCTTAAATCTGCATCAAACAGGGACCTGGACTCTCCTCCAAACAGGGGGGCACAGACCTGCCCGCAGCTCGGGAGCCAGGCCCCATGGCCAGCCCACTTGCCCCAGGGAGCTCTACTCCTCCAGTGGCTGCAAAGAGTCAGGAGACCAGGACTCCATGACCCAGATTGGGAGCACCTTTACCAACCCAGCAGCCAGGACGTCTCCAGCCTGTCAGCCCTCTCTTGGAGCGGGGGTCACGGCCACTCTAACCAGAAGCCGACACTCTGAGCCAAACAATCACAGGCCACCCTCACTTCCCTGAGCTTCTCACATAGGCAGGTCTGTGCCAGCCCCAAGCCTGCGAGTCTGTAGGCGCCTTTTCCCAACAGCATCTGCTCACTTTGTGTCTGACTCCGTGTCCCATTCGATAATTCTTGAAATGCTTCAGACGTTCCGTCATTATCGTACGTGTTGTTGAATCTGTGATCAGTGGCCTTCAATGTTACCATGAGACCCACTGAAGGGCTCCAATGATGGTTGTGTTTTTCAGCAATCAGGTGTTTTTAACTGAAGGGACGGACACTGTCTTTTGGGCACAACGCGCTGCACGTTAACAGACCCCAGAGCAGTGTGAATGTGACTAAGAGGCGCTGGGAACCAGGGTGCCCACACGGCTCGCTTTATTGGATCCCGGCTCGGGTAGAGACACCAAGAGCTGACAAGAGCTGCACAGTCCGGGGGACCCGCTCTGATACATAGGCTGGGGAGCAGCAAGGCCGGGCGCTGAAGACCCCTCACAAGGAGCCAAGACGACTTACCCCAAACACAAGAGACGCCCGAGGGAGTGAAAGAGCAGCCACAGGAGCGCGGTCTGCCCTGCCAGCACTGACACGGGGCTGCCCCACAGGACACCAGGTCCCCACGGACAGGGTGAGGCAGGCAAACCCCGCACCAGGAGGAAAGGCCAGGGGCAACAGGAAGCCCACACTAAGGAGGACGTGCATCCGGGCCCGACACTCGCGTCTGGGGCCCCCAGGCCCTTCCTGCCCCTCCGCAGAGCGCCAGGCCAAGAACCCCGGGGACAGACCACAGGGAGCGCGTGAGAGGTTCCTGCACAGCGCCAGCAGCCACGGACCCAGCACACGGGCGCTGAGCAGTCCCGCCCAGGCCGAGCTGTCATCCTTCAAGCTTTTTACCTTCCTGAGCCAGAGAGGGGTCCGCCACCTCCCGAGGACAGTGCTGTTCCCCAGGTTCAAGATGCCCCAAGAGGAAACAGGAAAGCTGGCCACAGCTGGACACGCAGGAAGCAAAGGGAGGTTCCTGGCAGGAAGGGGCATATCTGGGGTCTGCTTTTAGCAAGTCAGACCGGGGAGGGTAGAGGGGGCCTGCCGCCACCCTGAGGGGCGGTGAGAGTTGGGGCCCTGGCTTCGCGGATGCCGGATTATTGTTAAAATGAAGCCACAGACCATGGGAGACATCTGTAGCATGTTCCACTTAAAAAACACTATTGTAAGAATGTACAAAAACCAACCAATAGACAACAGAAAAAAGGCAAAAGACACCCAGTTAACTGAATAGTAAGGACTCTGATGACTAAAAACACAGCAAAAACACACATCATTAAACAAGAAAACACAAAGTCGTGACCACGAAGCCCCCTCCCCCACCACTGGTGGCCCCAGAAGGAAGGGCAGCCTCCCGTGTGCGCCAGGGGTACACGCAGCCCTGTGGGCAAGCTCTCCTGCCCAGCGCCTAGCAGCAGGCGGGCAGGGCTCCTGCCCAGAGCAGCCCAGGGGACGTCACCTCCTCTCGGCTCCACGCAGGGGTCCGCGCCCACGACCGTCCACACCCTCACCCATGGGTGAGAGCCCCCAGCTGGGGACAGGAGCAGAGGCAGCCTGAGCGCAGGGGGGCTGCCGGGTAGCGGGGCACCGGCCCCCACACGCGGCAAGCACGGCAGGCAGAGCGGGCAGGGGCCGTACCTTGAGGTCCCTGTGGATGATGGGCGGCTTCTGTCTGTGCATGTGCTGCACCGCCCTGCACGTCTGGTAGAAAATCTTCAGGACGGTGTCACACGAGAGCGGACCTTTAGATTCGACTTTTTTTAAAAATTCCACCAGCTGCCCTAAAAGAGAATCAAACTCACATCACCAGGGAACTACCAAAGCTGGTGCCCAGGCCTGCTGCCCTCCTGTACCCACCGTGGTGCTGCCCTCCCTGCCCTCCAGCCAGCACCCAGTCGGGGTTACAGAGCCCTGGAGGGGAAGCCTGCCCGCAGCGGCAGAGACCTCTGACCACGGAGCCTTCGTGACGCAGCAGCTACAAGGACCACGACCCCGAACGTGCACGTTCTGGCAGACACCTCTGGGGAAATGACCGCTGAGCTTCCTTAGTTAACAGCAGTCCTCAGCTGTTCACCTGAGATCTCAGTGGATACGTCCTCCACCTCTGGGCCCTCACCCCAGGCTGCACCAGGAGGGGGCCCCGCCTCAAGGCGCTCCTTCCTGTCTCTGTGGTGCAGGGACCTCAGTCCTGCTGGAACTGGCTGGAGCCCGGGGGCCACTGGCCCTCTCCACAGGGGCTCCCTCCGCAACCGTGTGCTGTCTTTGCTGGGCCAGCTTCCCAGGACCCACAACTCACCTGCCTTGGGCCCCCAACCCTGTTCTTGCCCTAGACATCCCAAAGCCTCTTCCAAGAGTCCCGCCTACACACTCCTGTCCAGGGCCCAGGGCTGCCTCCACTCCCAGAGGTGAGCTCCGCACGTTATGGGACCCCTGGCCCCACTCAACATGGAACAAAGAGCAGCACCACACAGCCACAAGGCCCCCGTGAGCCCAGACCCATCCCAGGAAGCCTGCCGGGGGTGCACATGAACGTGCAGGGCGTGCCTCATAAGCTCACACACGATGCTGGCTTCAGTGAGCAGGCACTGCTTTCTTGCAGGTGAAGGACAGTGATGCCAACCACCAGCCACGTGGAGGGCCCCGGCCTGAGCTGAGCACCCACGCTGCATGGTGCGCGCCCAGGAGAGGCGCCGGCGAGCACGGCTAGTGCCACACAGGACCCCGAACGCCAGTCCCCATGGGAGCCCAGGCGCCCACACTGCTGGGACAAGAGCATCACGCACCCCGGGTCCTGTCTTCACCTGGAATGGGGTCCCGGTCCCCTCCACTCAGGGTGGGGGTCCTGTACTCCTGGCTGTGGTCCCCAAGACCCCCCAAACCGGCAACCACCGCACCCCATTTCTGCTCTTCTTCGCAGAAAGACTCCCACACACAAGGCCCCCGTCCTCTTCCTGGGACACTCCTCTGGGGGCCGTGACCCCTCGGGGAGCTTTCCTCCCTCCCTTCGGGGGAGCCCCCTGCCTCAGTCTCCCCCGCTATCCCCTGGCTTCACGGCAGCCCCATGCACAGCTGGTGACGGATGGACAAGCAGGGCGTCTGGGGGCTCCTGCCCTAGTTCCAGGCCCTCTGGCCAGTCCTCCACACCTGCCACGCCTCAGAAGTCCTGCCCAACTCCAAGAGCTGTCTTGCCCACACGGGTCCAGCACAGGGCAGAGGTTCAGTTGTGGGATGAGAGGAGCCCAACCCCTCCAAGCGGAGACCCTGCTTCTGCCGCTGACAGAAGCCTCACCTCTCCTGGGGAGCCTGGCACCACTGCCCGCCCACTCGCCCACTCTGCCCCAAGAAGTCCTGAGAAAGCACCGGCTCCCCACTGCTGTCAGGAGACACAAGTCTTCCTCTCAGAACATAGCAAGTGTGACCACCTTGAGCTGGTGAGGTTGCAGGCCCGTCTCCGCGGCCCCGCCCACCTCCGCGGCCCCGCCCACCCCGGCCCCACCGGGCCACTTCCGGCCACTTCCGGACGACGGCTGCTTCCTGCTGCCTGATGGCCCCGACAGCGCAGCCGCCCCTCCGCAGCCCCAGTTCTGCTCTCAGCCCTGCGTGGGGGAGAGGGGGTGGATACATCCACTCAAAGAGCTCCCACCAGACAGGGAGCCACTCTCTCCCTGACGACCACGCGTCTCTGGAGAGGAGACCCCAGGAGCTGTCCCGCCTGCTGGGTGGTCCCGAGCCGCAGTCACCTCACCTCTGCAGAGCTCCATGAGCAGCAGGAACTCCGCCTGCCCAGTGTCCGACTCCTCTTTTCCTATCGATGCTGCAGAACAAAACTGGACAATATTTGGGTGGCCTGAAAGTTTTTTCTGCAGGTGTCTCGTTAAAGGAGAATGCGTAAGTCTGCATGTTTAAAAACAAATATATACATAATATTAAGACACTGAAGTCAGAACACTGACTCCAACTAAGGACAATCTGAGTGCATAACCACAAAAACAGCATGGGGTGCAGGTGGAAGGCAGCCAGGAGGACAGGAAGACATTGGACACAAGGAAAGGGAAGGTGCTGAAGAACCCCCACCCCCACCCCCCGCCACCGGCCACACACCTGGCCAGGGGCTGGGTGGGGTAGCAGGTAGAGGGTGTGGTGCAGGTGAGGCTGAAGGAGGCCACAGGAAGCCCAACACGGTGAGGACCCTCAGGCCCAGAGGCTGGCAGGCTCACAGTGGACAGAGCTTCGAGATGGAGAACAGATTCTGACAGCAAAGGGCGAGACCCCAGTTCCAGGGAAACGCGCGTGGGAGTGGAGAGCCAAGCCAAACAAGCCCGCCGATCCAGGCTCCATGCACGGACGCCCAGGGCCCCTGCCCTCTGGGAAGGGTGAAGGCACCAGGGGGCTGCTCAGAGAACAACTTGGAGCCCACGGGAGCCAGGGCTGGTGAAGAGCTGAGGGCAGAACTACTGGCCAGGAGCCAGGCATCACATCAGGTCAATGGGCAAGCAGCAGGGCGGAGGCAGGGAGCTGCCCACCCCCAGTTTGAGACCTCTTGGCAGGAATGATGCTGTTGCTCCCAAGGCTATAAATCTCTTACCATTACTCTGAGAGTAAAGAACAAGGAAGAAAACTCCTTCCTACTAGACACGGGCTACAGGCAAGTCCAATGAAGCAAACAGAGAGGGCGTCCCCGAGCAGCCGGCAGCCGAGGGCAGCCACAGCCGGCCGCAGGCCTCCCCACGGGGCCATGCTCGTGCTCAGCCCTGGAAAAGGATACCATGAAACACACTTCCTGAATGATGGCTCTGTTCTTCTCCTCTTCATTGGACAGCAATCTCTGTAGCGGGAAATAACGGATGAGGAAAGATTAAGGGCCTTATCTGTCTGCTCTCACCGAGCACACACAGTGCATCTGAGGGCTGTCCCCACCTAACTGTGTGTTAACATCTGACCCACAGAGAAACCTGACAGGTTAAAGGACCTCAAAAATGGTCCTCTGTGATCCAAGAACGTAAGAAAAACTAAAAACAGGAGGCATCTCACCCAACAGGCTGGAGGAAAATGAGAGATGTGGGTCTACTTCTGGACCCCCAAGTTCAAGTGCACGCCCCCAGCCCAGCCGAACCCCACGACGGTCACTGCCCCTGAGGCTGAGCAGGCCCCCCGAGAGTCTCAGGAGAGACCACAAAGTGCACCCAGCACGCCACCCGAGAGCCCGGCTCACAGACACACTGTGCACGCGCCACTTTACACGAGTGGCTTTCAAATGCCTGGTGTTCCTGGAACCCTTCCTTTGGCAGCTCTGGCTCCCCTCCCCTGGCCACCCCACAGCTTTCAAGTCCCCTAAGACTGCAGAAGAAACAAGCGTAACAAACAGACACAGACTGTAAAAAGGAAACATAAACTAAACGGGCAGGGATAAACGTCTGGAAACAGTGTCACTTAGAAATTTATTACCTTTAAAACACAGGAAACCATGGCTAATTCATTTCAATGTATGACAAAACCCACTGCAATGATGTAAAGTAATTAGCCTCCAACTAATAAAAATAAATGGGAAAAAAAAAAAACACACAGGAAAACCCACAAAAGCTCGTCCCCTTTATTACCTTCAATGCATACTCTCTGCCACTTCCCAGATCTTGAGCTTCATACACAAATGCAAACCCTCCTGAAAATTAGAAAAATACACAGCAGTTTTATGTAACATTTAGCTGTAAAAATACCTTGACTGAGAAAAGGTACAAACTGGACTGTGGCCAGGAGTCTGTGTTCCGCCGTGATGGTGGCCCTGGTTTATGTGACCGCCTTCTACACACCCTGTTCACAGACAGAGACCAGGGCAAGAAAATCAACACAATCGACGCCAGTTCTCTGGAAACAAGTGACTCGTATCACACAAACATGGATGAGAGAATTCCTGACAGATCGTTAATTCTACATAAAACAAAATGTTAGCAAATTAAACCCAACAACTATAAAAAAGGGTACTACATCACAACTAAGTAAAGTTGGTTTAATCAATGTAATTCGACTATTTTTAGTTTGACTTCTTAGTCTTCTCTAGTTTCCTACAGTGGAAAATCTCACCATGAAATTTAAAACTCAGCAAATGGGAACAGAAGGACAGTTGCTCAGCCTGATGACGGCGTCTCTGGAAGGCCCTCCACCAACACCACACTTGGGGTGGGGGCCTGACTCTTCCCTCTACGACCAGGGCCGGGCAGGCCTCAGGCCTGTTCTCGCCACTGCCATTCAGTATCACGCTGGAGGCGCAACCAGTGCAATCAGGCAAGAAAGGAAATAAAAGGCATCCAGCCTGAAAGCAGACAACAAACAACATGACTGTCTATATGGACAAGGTGATACCTACTCCTTCAAGCTACTATCAATAATGAATGAGTTTAGGAAGGTTGTGTGATGTAACAGGAACATACAAAAAATCAACCATTTTGACAAACCCTACATTAGGCAAACAGTATGATCCATAAATGAAAAATATGATAAATGGACTTCATTAAAGACAGTTTTTGCTGGTTTTTGGAAACACTGCTGAGAGCTTGAAAAGACAAGTCCCTAACTGGGCTTCGCAAATCACACATCTGGCAAAGGACCTCTATCCAGAAAATATACATAAAATCCAAAGTTCAGTTCAACAGCATTTTAAGGGGCAAAATATACAAAAAGACACTCAACCAAGACAAACAGCTGGCAAGTAACCACATGAAAAAATGTCATTATCCACCAGGGATATGCATATTTAAACCACAAGGATACTACTATATACCTATTAGAACATCTAAAAATTTTAAAACCGACCTACCAATTATTGATTGAGGTGTGGAGCAACTGCATGCTTATTTACAATGCCCACAGGAATTCAGAATGGTATCATCATTTTGGAAGACAGTCTGGAGAGTTCTTCAAAAGCTAAACGCACATCAGCTCTACAGCTCTGCCATCACATTGTGAGTATTTACCCAGGAAAAAGAAATGCACACGTCCTCACAAAGACTCGTACACGCGTGTTCACAGCAGCCCCAGCGGGAACAACCCGTGTCCGTCAATGGTGAGTGGATGCAGCGGCCACCCTCGCGCGACCAGGCGCACTGCTGCTGACATGCAGCAGCAGGACTGCGAGCAGCCACGCTGAGGAGCGGCAGTCAGGAAAAGAGTGTGCACACGGGACCTCATTCACAGGAGACCCGAGAGAAAACAGAGTCATCACTCTAACAAAAAGCAGATGAGCAGTGGCTTGGGGGGTGAGGAGGAAACCCATGGAGGCGATGGGTTTGTTCACCACCTTCACAGTGACAGCTGTGTAGATATACACACACACACACACGCACACATTAACACACATATAGAACATACTTACAGTGTTTTGACATATATGCAGAGTTACTCTGTCACTTTTATCTCAACATAGCTATTAAAAAATCAAATAAGTCCATATAAAAAATAGATTAAAGGAAATAAATGAAAATCTAGAAAAGAGAAACAGAAAAACAGATGGCTTCACTGGCGAATTCTATCAAACATTTAAGTGAAGAAAGTACAACAACCTCACACGAAATCTGTGCCAAGAGAGAATAGTTCCCAGAGTCTTTTTTGAGGCAGAGAAAACAATAAGCATACAATTACAGATGAAAAGCACTCATTAACACAGAAATCGAAAACCACCAGAAAACACTAGGAGTGATTCTGGCAATACGCAGTGAGGACAGCGTTAGGACCACGCAGAAATGCAAGGCTAACATTCACTGCAGCACACACTGTAAAAGGGAGGGCAGGTCACCCCGACAGACTCCAAGAAAGTTTCTGCCCACACGCAAAACCCAGTCATGATCCTTCAAAACAGTGAAATTTTTAAAAAACATTCAGCAAACTAGAAATTGAAGCAGAAACTTCTTCAATCTAAGAAATGGCAACCGTGAAAAACTAACTGCTAACACAAGACTTAAAGGTCCTCTCTAAGATCAAGAACAAAGAGAGGATTTCTGCTGCTCTCAGAGCCGCAATACAACATTTTTTCGGTGAGCCTAACAGTGCAAGAAAGCTAGAAAAATAAAGAATGGAGGAACTAAGACTGCTTTTACTTGCAGATGATAAGACAATGAAGCAAACACTCCTAAGGACTCCACCAAAAACGTCCGGGACAGAAGGGCAACCTCAGCAGGGCTACCAGATCCGTGGGACCATCCTCAGGCCTCCGCTGCAGCCAGACCGGCACCACCGCGCCTTCTCAGACATCAAGCCCACTGCTGCCCGGCGCCGCCCCCCGGCCACAGCCCCGCACGGCCTGGCCCAACCCCTCACCTCACTCCCCTGAACTACCCCCCACGCCCCCCACCCCGTTTCTTCTCCCCAGCGTTCTCTGATACCTGACTCTACCTGGATACCTGTTTACTGTCTCTCCCACTAGGCCGAGAGCTTGAAGCAGAAATGTTGTCGGAGTTGTCTGCATTGCTATCACAGGCACCCAGGACAGTGTTGGACACAGTGGGCAACCAGAATGGTGTGCTGAGCAAACCAGCAGACCACCACAACAAACTCTTCAGAGGTCAAAACACAGTCACTTCCATTTAACACCCCCCACAGCAAGATTATGCAGTCTGAACACAGCACCTGCAGAGGAAGTACAAAGATGAGCAGGAAGTACTGCGCTAGCTCACGGTGGTGGCTGCCTCTAAAGAGAGACACAGCAACGCAGCGGGGGCAGCGGGTCAACGGAACCTTTACAGCATCTGTGGTGCTTCACTGTCTAGAAAAGGTCTGGGACCAAAGATGACTTTTTTAAAGTTGGTGGTGGTTAAGTCGTGTCCGACTCTTTCAACCCCATAGGCCGCAGCCCGCCAGGCTCCTCCGTCCATGGAATTCTCCAGGCAAGAATACTGGAGTGGGTTGCTATTTCCTTCTCCAGGGGATCTTTCCCACCCAGGAATCAAACCTGGGTCTCCCACATTGCAGGCAGATTCTTTATCAACTGAGCTACGAGGGAATCCATTTTCAAAGTCAGTATTTATTAATTCTGGATAGCAGGGACAAAGGTGTCTGTTCTGTTACTCTTTCTACTTTTCTGCATTTAAAAAATTTTTCCTAACTCAGAAAAAAAAATTTCAAATTTTGTTGTATAGCTACAGTAATGAAGACTGTGTGGTACTGGTGGACAGATAGATTGTAGATCAATGGAACAAAAAAGAAAAGCCCTATAAACAACCACACAAATATGCCCAAATTGCAAAAGCAGTTTCAGAAGGATGGTATTTTCAACTGGACAGCTCCAGGCAAAAGAAAGAATGTCAGTCTAAACCTCACACGTTAACTCAGAGCATACAAGTGTCAAACCACGAGACAGCATAGGAGAGAATCCTGGAGATGCAGGGCTCAAAGTTTTCAGACTAGACAGCAAAAGCAGGATTCCGGAACGAAAAGCGATAGAATAGACTTCATCAAAGTTAGAGCCTTGGATCCGCAAGAGACCCTGTCAGGAGGCCAGAAGACAAGTAGCCTGAGAGAAAACACCTAGCAACCACACTGGACAGAGGACTCAAGAAGCTCTCAAAACTCAACAATGAAAGATGATTGGAAAAGAGGCAGAGGACACAAAGAGACATTTCACCTGGGAGGATGAGCAGGTGCAAATAAGCAAAGCATGAGCTTTTAGGGAAACGCAAACTAAAGCCTCAATGAGACATCACCACACACCTGCCAGAATGACCACCAAAGACAACACAAAACGCTGGCAGGGACGCAGAGACTCAACTGCGTCCCCCCATAAGTCACGAGTTGAAGCCCTAGCCCCAACACGGCTGCATCTGGAGACAGGGTGCGCAGGGAGTTGACTGAAGTTCAATGAAGTCAGAAGTTGGGGTCCCGATGTAACACGACTGGGGTCCTCAGAGTAAGGGGGAGCGAGAACAGCCAAGGGGAGAGACCTCCCTAGGAGCCTGCCAGCTCCCTGGCCTCAGGCTCCAGCCCCAGAGGCAGGAAGGCGAAGCCACCTTTACACACCCAGCCTATGGTGGGTGCAGCACCCGAGCACAGGCAGGCGCCCCTCCGCCCACGGGCGAGCGCAAACAGCACAGCTCTAGAGACAGGTTGGCAGCTTTTCTAAAAACAAGACACCAACTGCCATGTGACCCAGCACCTGCGCACTCATTCCAGAAAAATGAAAACACAGCCATACAATAACCTGTACATGAATGTTTATAGCAGCTTTATTTCAAATGGTCAAAAACCCGGAAACAATCCAGACATCCTTCAGTGGGTGGAAAGTTGAGCAAACTATGGTGTATCCACACCATGGACTGCTCTGCAGAGACAAAAAAAGTTAGGACACAGCAACGTGGATGGTCCCCAGAGAATCATGCGGGGCGAAAGAAGCCAATTCTGAGAGGTTGCATGTGATCCCGTTTACACAGAATTCTTCAGAGGACAAAGGACAGAGGCGGGTAGGCCAATGCTCTTCAGGGGTCCACAGGGATCCCCACGGGGACAGACACTTCGAATCCTGGCTGTGACCACAGTTTTTCTAGACATTGCCACTAGGCAGTGTACCCAGACTTATCTGCATCTTTTCTTCCAACTCCACGTAAGTCCACAATGACCTCAAAAGGAAAAGTTAAAAAACAAACAACCACTAGCATATAAAACACATAAAGGGATACC